GTCAGGGAGAAGACCACCCATGAGGGAACTGCCAGAACTTTAGTATGGCTGGGGTCTAAAGGAATGTGGTGAAATCGGGGTCCAAGACAAGGCTAAGATATGCGGTAGAATCACATCAAGGCTTTTCTCTGTATACTTTATTATAGAATTAATGTTTTATCTACTTTCCAAAAACATATTTGGCTGCTCAAATGACACTTCAATCTTATAGTATCATTAAGCATGTATAAATGACACCCCACAGGTCATATTAAGGCCAAGGGGAAGAGTTGGGTGGCCTGTGTTTCTGCAGCCATTTTTCATCTTGTATGTTTACTGAGCAACTGTGCATTGAATACTCTTTATGTCATAAACAAGTTACTGACTTATTAAATATCCTTAAGGAACTTTCAATCTAGCTTAGCCAATTACATAAGAGATAGCATAAAAGAATATTTGCTGACGAGTCAAAGGATAGTATCAATTCGAAGGAAGAAATGGAGTAAGTGGGAAAGGAGGAAGTGCTGTATGTGGAAACAAGGGAGCAGTGGCCTAAAGTGTGGAATCCAGGGTCAGCAAGTTGATCACTTGCCTGGGGCTAGGGTTTCCTGTAGCACATCACTGAGTATCCATCCACACTAAGTAATAGCTTTTTAAATGAAATGAAGTCTTTAAAAAACCTTGTAACAAAGGCTGTTCCTGAGTTTACTTTTGATCCATTTTAAAAATCTCACTCAAACCCCAATTGAACTCTTAAAAGTAAATATTTTGCAATATGAAAGTATTTCCTGGCATTAAGATCCTTTCAAACACTAAACATTGCCAGAGATTTTCTAGCTTATCCCATGCTGTTTGAATGCATTGAAAAGAGCTTTAGTTAGTTTTTTATGCTGGCTTTAAACTTTCTTTTCAAAGAAAAAATCGAAAAGTATAGCCATTAGCCCGGTGTGCACAAAAGCATTATTATCCTATCTTCATCTGCAAGATACCTGCATCTTTGGGGAAGAGGAGTTTGCCTTCATTGTTTTCCTATAGACTGAATTTTAGTGATAATTCCTTCTGCCTTGAACCAAGAGTGAAACCATATAGATAAGGGCCACCACTACTTAGACATGAAAGATGAATATAAAAATGGTTTCTGGTAAACTTAGAACCATTCGTATTTTATATGTTTTTCTAGGTAAAAATTTCAGCTTTAATTGGACTTTTCAAATGTTTATTAAAAGAGGATTCAGAGAAGTAGTTGTATGAAAGTAAAAAGCTTGATATAACCTTAAAGTATATTGTGTATTTTATTGCAATATTTTTGCATTTTCTCAGACATTTTTTACAAATTTAGTATCCTACCATTGTAATGTTAACATGCAGATTTCTTTATTTTTCTAAAATGATACACAACGACATTTCTTAATGGCTGCTTCCTATTGTGTTGAATTCTATAACGTAACTTAACAATCGCGTTATCGTTGGATATTTGTGTTGTTCTCTAATTGTGTAAATCAAGCATGCAAACTGGGAAGGGACATGTTTGCACCGAAGGTGGGTTATCTGATCTACTAAAGCAGTGTGCAAGCAGAAAATGGACGACAGAAGGTGATTCCTCCTTCCTTGTTTGTGCCAGAGCCCTCCCTTGTTGACATACGAGCTAGCCTTGGTGCCATTTTCAGAAGCTTTATTTGTCTCACTTGCTTTTTTTTTTGGTTTGGGCAAAGCTTAAATATAAAAATCCATCTGCGAAGCATATTGTATATTCACATTGAAGGCTAAAAACTCATTTTTAATTAAAACTTTATTCAGCACTCATGGTTCACTTTGTCCTGTTTTTATTATGAAACACTTCAGTCTTCTTCCTAAAGCACATATGTCTTGAACATTTCAAGATGTTCCTTGTTGTTCATGCAAAACTGGTTTCTTTATGCTGTCAGCTCACTGCCATATGTTCCGCTGTTCATTTTGCTTCCTTTACTGGCATTTATGTAGGCAACATCTTGTATGTAGCACAAGTTAGTTTTATTCCCTTCTCTTTTATAAAACTTGTCAGAAGGTAAAATAGCAAACTGGAAACATTGAATAATACTCTGGCATGTTAGGTTTTGGTGATTATAAAGGATGTAGCTTTTCTTAAATTCCTGATGTTAAGTATGAAGGCGCTATGTGTCCAGTAACACCAAAAGTCTTGCCATATGTGAACAATTACAATTAAGATACCATTGGTGTTACCTGTCAGCAACACACATTATAGAAATTGTAATTCTTTGGTATTGATTATTAAACCAAATGTGAGGATTGGGAGGTAGGGGGAAGGAAACAAGAAAATCAAACTACCCCTTTTATTTTCAACAACACACCATCATGTTGTCAGCTGGGAGTTTCTTTGCCAGACTGCCCACAGCATACAAGTGGTTTTGAGATCAGATGTGTTATACCTCAAGTTAGGTATAATGAGAGCTGAGTTAGTTTAAAAAGTGGTGATATTTAAGTTGAATCTGAACTGAAAAGGCAATAATATATAAAATGATATTAGAAAGTTTAACCTGCTTTTAAAGAAAATTATTAGACAAAATAGACTTTATATTCTTCATAATGCAAGTCCTAAAGCAGTCAGACTTCTGTTATGTGACCTCTAATGAGTTTCGCATACCTGGATTTTTCAAATAGTTCTTAATTATGTTTAAATTGTTCCTTTAACTATGCTGACTGGAACACTTCTGAATCAATCACATATTTCCTGTCCTCCTTGAACATACCTGAGCTGAGCCTCAGCTCCTGCAGCAGCCAGTGTAGTGCAGAGCTGCTGTGGGAAGACAGCACCAGCGGCGTCTGCAGGGACTGCCCCAGTGCTGCCTGTCTCACTCCTGTTTCCTTCTCAGCATTTGTCTCTCTTGGGTGTTTGTCCTTCCCTTCCTGACAACTGGCACAAATTTCAGCATCTAGTTTTCCTTTCCAACTTCACTGCTTATGTTACAGAGTATACTTGGATCCAGGTTAGGAGTTTGATTTGTTTGTCTTAGTATAAAACAAAAACAGAAATGTCCTGAGTCAGGGGCCTTTTAAGTATTGCTATTATGTAATCAACTTTGACTGTCGGGAGCATTCCTTTGTTTGCTTCTTGTTTAATCTAGATGAATGAACGTGCAGCTGCCAAAGCGGGTATGTTAGTGTGAGTGTTGACCATCTATCCCCCTCAAGTCCAGTTTGGCACTTAAGGATAAAATCATTTTGGTCTGATATTCTTAATTTTATAGACATTTTAATATGCGAGAAACATAAAAGCATTTAGACACATTTAGATTCTTTCGTATGATCTATGTATCACAAAGCTTCCACCTCAGATAGATTAGAATGCATATCTTAGATGTTTTGACCTAGGATTAAGGGTGATGTGAAAGTGATTGCATTGGGTAGAAACCATACTCTGGATTTTGAATTGCAGGCTTCTCTCAGGCTAGCAATATGTGCTCTCTTGCAATGCTGAGCAGCAGCAGTGAGCGGCAGCTCCCGCACAGGCACCCAGTCACCAGGGCCCACAACCAGCACTCTACAGCGCACCACGTCACTAAGCTAGGACGGTTGGTAGGTTAGGTGTAGCACATGTATTTTTGACTTAGAATGTTTTCCTTGTTTTTGGAAACATAACTCCATTGTAAGTTAAGAAACTGTAGTTTTGCACAACTTATGTTGCAGAATTCATGATTGTACCAATACAGATCATATGGTGTGCTCTAATTACACTCATGGTTGTTTCTTTGATCTTTGTAAGGAAACCTTTCTTTAGTTGCGACACAAATAAAAGAAGAAGCTAAAATAGAGGGTTTTGAATATTTTGTATGACCATTTGGAAATGGGCTAATAATTTTTTTAATTTTTTTGATAAATACTTTATTTAATTTCATTAAATACATCCTGAACTATATCATGCAATTGATAAGAGTTCTTCCCTCCCTGAATGAAGACACATAGCCATGCACACTTAGTAAACAACCTAGTAGGTCTCAGAAACCCCTGCACACATCCTACATGCCTGTGTTTGTCTATGCAATGCACATTTGTTGAGCACCGCAGCCCTAGGCACAGTGTGGGTGCCAAAGAAGGAGTGCGTAGACGTGAATGACACTCTGACCCTGCTCTTGAGGGACTTAGAGTCCTGAGGTGAATGAAACAGGTGAGTTGTATTTCAATCTGGAAAATACGGTGTATACACACACACACACAAACTCTAGAGGCTGAGGGAAGAGTGAAAAAAGAAAAAGATGAGAAGTGGGTACGTGAGTATAAAATGCTCCTTTCTGTTTCAAGGAACAAGATAACTGCATATTCTCAATATTGTGTGAATGCTAGAGCTGCTTTCATTAAACATTTTTGAAGGCTGTTACTATCCCATCTTGGTAAAACGAACTATGCCAGGTAGAGAATACTGTGGAGACAAAAGGGCAGATAGGGTTAATTCTGCTAGAGGAAGGGAGGATCCAGGGAAACTGGTGCAGACATCTGAGCCAGGCCTTGAAAGACACGTGAACTTCAGTAGGCAGAGATGCGCATAAAGATGGTACTGGCAAAAGGAACAGCTGGAACACAGGGAGAGGAAGTCGCTGCAGTGAGGACGGCGCTGTGCTGCCACATCGATTCTCTCCTGATAGAGTAGGAAGTACTCAGTGTGGCGCAGTAAAAGCCAGGGGCTTGATCGTACCAGCTGAGTTTGAGGGGTGTGCACCAGCTGTGTGAGTTGGCAGCAAGGGGCAGAAGCATTCTGGATCTCCATTTCTATATCTGAGAGAGAGACACGTAGCCCAGGGCTGCTGCACTCACAGCTAAGAGAGGCAGCATTCCCACGGGACTCAGGGGCTCTCCCAGGCGAGTTGGGAGGACTGAACCAGATACTCCACCTCACATACTTTAGCATGGCAACCGGCGTGTGGTAAGCACTCAGTACATGCTAGTTACTTCCATCGGACCACCGTAATTTTGAAGATTGAATTCATTTGAAATCCTTTTTATTTAAAGGTTTATGCAGCTTTGTCATTGTTAAAGTAATCTATGTGTTCCTTAGAGTAATTTGAATGGGATGGAAGATGTTCTCTGCTTAATTTACTGAGCTTCATAATTTGTTATATAGGAAATATACATAGTTAAAACCAAAAAACACATGAAAACAAAATTTTAAGAAAATAAATCCCCTCGCATTTTGATTGAGCATCTTCCCACTAGTTGTGAATCATTCGATTCATGCCATTCATCCTAAGTACGTACATTTTGGGTGGGGTGGGGGGGACCAACTTTCATTATCTGAAGGAATGGTACAAATTAAAGTACGCAAGTGGATGTTTTGGTACAATGTCTAGCAAAGGTAAAAGTAGCCCCAACATGCACGCACTGCCGAGGGGCACTGCCGGGGAAGTTAGCCTAAGGCTTTAGCTCTCACTAGCACTGTGTCCCAGGGTGTGCTTGTCAAAGAGATAACTCCGCCATGCCAGATTCGGGGCCTCCACCTTGCACACGTTGGTTACGTGGTCACCCAATTCTTTGATGGACTTCATCTGCTCATTCGGGTAATGCGTCTCCAGGAAGTCACACAAGTGGGGGTCACCTTTGTCCGTGGCCAGTTTGTGCAGTTCCAATAGTGACTGATTCTCACTTTTTTCCAAGTGCAGTGCACACGCGACTGCATTCAGCCCACTTCCCCAGTCATCATACTCTGGTCTCTGGATGTCCTGAAGGAAGATTCGGCCCCCTCGCCGGTTCTGCAACTTCATCAGTTTCTCAGCGGGCTCCCTCTCCTCATGAGACTGGTGGAGAAAGTATTTGGCAAAGTTCTCCAAAGCCACATCATCACGGTCAGAGTAGTAAGACTGAAAGGAGAATATGGACACGTTCATGGACAGGTCGACACAGGAGGCGTCGAGCTCCAGGTGGATCCGGCGGTTGATGGCGTGCTCCGGGTCCTGGTGGTAGTTCTGGCGCACCTGCAAGGAAGACGCGGTCGTCATGGCAGGCGACTGAGACGCAGAGGCGGAGGCTGCAGGGAGCTGGAGCTGTGGCGGGCCTGGGGGCCGTCCCCGAGCGCTGTGAGAAGGTGGCCGCGGGCTGGCTCTGACCAGCCGCCTGGGGCAGGGGTCGAGCGCCGGGTCCGTCCCAGCACTGCTGAAGCAGGAAACCCGCAGCGACTCTCCGGGAAGAACATCTCAACTACGTTGATTTTTATTAACAAAATCTTGCGTGACCACTCAGTGTTTCCATTGGGAACATTTTCTAACAGTTTTGTGATTCTGAAGCTGAACGATGTTTGTTTTTTCCTCCTCTTTTATATCTAGAAGCAAGGTTATTTAGAATGGGTTAGTTGATAAGAACATCTGACTCAGAAAATGGGACAGCCATGAATTTGGCTGAGGATTCAGAAACATGGCTAGGGGTCAATGATTATTACCCAACTTCAAATGTCAGCAAACACTTCAGGGTTGCAGGAGACAGAAAGTAAAACACATAAGGTTTAATGGGCTTTGCTATGGGGTTCTTTGGGGGCAGTTTGCATGGAGTTGTTTGCTGAACACATGATTGTCTTGTTGTGACTTGCCCATCTAAATTAATTGAGGCCCGTTACTGTTCTGTCTTGTGAAATAGAAAATAGGCAGTAGCGCCTCACCAGTGCCCATAGAAAAGGCAGTCATTCAGTCAGGGTCTATCTGCAAAGAGCTAGGCTGAAGAGCCTAACAAAGCTGCACCTACCACGCCACAGGCAGGCAGTCCAAGGAGGCTGCTGAGCCGTTTAGGACTTGGAGTTTGGTGGGCAGGGTGTTCATTAGACACTACCCTTGCACCCAGACCACTGGGGGGAAGGCGGGGGCGGGGGGCAAAGGGATGGGCAGGAAGGGAGGTTGGTCGGACATACAAGCTGACAGCAGCCTCAGCCACACCCATAGGGAGCTCTGGGCTAATGTCCTGTTGGGCCAGAATGGCCATGTCTTTACTGTTACTTACGAGTTGTTGGATATGGACTGCCCCCGAAGGGTGGGGCCATTGGCAAGGAGGCTGTGCAGGTGCGGCGCCATCAGGGCTGCTGAGGCTGCCAGTTGAAGTGTTGCTGGCACCTGAGGCGACAGGTCTTCCCTGGCAGGAGGGATCTGACAGCCCCTCTCCCTTTCCTTGCCTCCCTTCCTGCAGCACCCAGTCCTGTTGCAACATGTGCACCTGTAAGCCAAGCCAGCTTGCAGAAATGTGACAGGACGAAGAGCAGCTCCACCCTCCTAGCTTCACCCACAAAAGAAAGTCTCAAGTATTTCTGTATTCCAAAAGTTGTTCACACCAGCGGACAGCACCACCACTGCCGACACGGAAGCTCAGGGCTGACAGCTGGGTCTATGAGGAAGCCACGAGCATCACCTGACTCTATCAGCAGACACTGCTGGGTAGCAGGAGAGAGAAAAGAAAATGCATAAGTTTTGATGGATTTTGCTATGGGCAGTTTACTTTGTGCTTTTCCCAATCAAGAATTATAGGAAATGTTTACAGCCCTAATCTCTTTCAGATGCGCAGATATAAATAACTATTTGGCATTGCCAGTGGAATATCCAGTGCGTACCTGAAAATCAGCGTGCTTAAATCAATTCACTTTTACTTCCTTCTCAAGATGAAATCTAGTTCCTGTACCTCCATGCGTTAAGCCATCTTCCCTCGAGGTCTGAACCCTGTGACTTGTTCTTGGTCTGTTTCCCCCAGAGTCAGCAAGCCCTGCAGTTTACTTCAGAAATGCCTTTTACGCCCAGTCCTCACACTCCTCTTCACTGCTACTGTCCTAATTCAGGCCCTCATTCAAAGGTGGTTGTCTTTTTGTACTTGTTCTAATTTTTAAAAATCAGAGCAATATAATCTCCTGGTACAAACAGTGCAGTACAGCTTATGATGATAATCAAGTTCCCCTTCCTTGCCCCCCACTGCAGGTACTAAGGGACAGCCTCCTTTGAATGGTCTGCCCCAGTGTTCTGGTGGATGCCTTCATAACTCTAGACATTATGCCCTTAGCTGTTATCTTTTTTTTTTTTTTTTTTTTTGACAGAGTGGACAGTGAAAGAGAGAGACAGAGAGAAAGGTCTCTTCTCCATTCACCCCACAATGGCCTGGCCGCTGCGGCCGGCACACCACGCTGATCCAAAGGCAGGAGCCAGGTACTTATCCTGGTCTCCCATGGGGTGCAGGGCCCATCCTCCACTGCACTTCTGGGCCACAGCAGAGAGCTGGACTGGAAGAGGAGCAACTGGGACAGAATCCGGCGCCCCGACCAGGAATAGAACCCGGCATGCTGGCGCCACAGGCAGAGGATTAGCCTAGTGAGCTGTGGCGCCGGCCCTTAGCTGTTACCTTAACTTAGGCAAGGCAAGACCACCCTCCACACTGAAAGATGAAACTTGGATGTTTACTGCCTTTCCCCCTTTTCTCCTACTCGTATTTCATTGATAACATTTGTAACTTTAGTAATTGACTGAAACCTTTATTTCTTGCCCCATCTACTTTCAACAGTCTCTTGACTATGTCCATTGCAAGAAGACAGATGTTCATACTCCTATCTGTCCATCCCTGCCCTCCCAATCCCATATTTTGCCACTGCATGCTTATGTTGTCAGACTTGTTAGTTTTCCATGCTTCCTATTCATTTTTTAAGATTCTATTAACATTTTGTTTTATTTTATTTAGCACATCCCTGCTTACCCTTCAATCCTTTTTAAAAAAAACTGTGATGAAATATACACTATACTGGGGCCAGTATCGTGGTGCCGTGGACTCAGCCACTGCTTATGATGCTGGCAGGCTGTTTGGGTGTGGGTTTGAGTCGCAGCTGTACCACTTCCGATCCAGCTCCCTGCTAACATACCTGAGAAAGCAGCAGAAGATGGACCAAACACTTGAGCCACTCAGATGGGAGACCCTGAGGGAATTCCTGGCTCCAGTCTTCAGCCTGATCCAGCTCCAGCTATTGAGGTCATTTGGGGAGTGAACTAGCAGGTGGAAGATCTCTATCTCTGTCTCTTCCTCTGTCTCTAACTCTGCTTTTCAAATTTATAAAATTAATCTTTAAAAAAAGATTAACATAATATTTATAATTTTAGCCATTTTATGTGTACAATTGAGTGGCATTAGATACATTTACAGTGTTGTATGCTCATTGCCTCTGTATTCACAAAGTTTTGCATCATTGACAACATAAACTCTGGGCCCACTACCAGTATATCTTCTCTCGCCCCTCTCCCGGTCTGCTGGTAACCTCAGTGTTAGTTTGTCTCTTTGCATTTCCCATTCTAGGGACCTCTGTAAATGGAAATGCATGACATTTGACTTTCTGCATCTAACTTATTTCACCCAGCATAGTGGTTTCAAGGTTCATCCACGTTGTAGAATATATCACAATGTCATCCGGGCAGTGTTTGTTGTTTGTAGAGATCTGTGGATCCACACAGCTGTGGATGGGCTCTCCCCTTTCCATCTGAACTGCTACTGCAACAACCTCCTACGTGGCCGTCACTTAGCAGTCTCTGCCTCTGCGATTTAGTCTCTTCCTTTTGCCAGAATGTCTTTCTTTAATAAATATGGTGCTGCTTGGTTGTATTCATTGCCCTTACTCTCTCCAACTCAGTCCAATTCCAAGCCACCCAATTTGTAGTGGCATTCAGTGTCATCAGTAGCACCTCTGTCCTGTCTCCAAGCTCTTCTAGGTTCACTCCCACATTCCTGTGCTTCAGCCACACCAAGTACCTTACGCTATCCACAAAATGCCAAACACTTTTACCCACTCATCTTGCTTGGCACTGTTTCTTCTGTTTGAATTTTAGCTCATTGTTTCTCTACACTGAAATCGCTACTCACAGAATAGAGTTAAATGTCAAAATACAAGTTAAATGTCATTTTTTGTGATGGTTTCCCCAATTCTACCAGGTAATCCGTTGTTCCTTTCTCTGGTTGCCAAAGTATTTCGTGTGTGCTTGTAATTCCAGTCCTTCTGTGATAGTGTGCTTACTTGCCTGTCTCCTTTATTCGATTGACTTCTATTTGCACTGCAGATTGTTCTAAGTGTTCAATGATCCTAGAAACTCACAACATTCACAAAGGATGCTTCAGTAGTGAGCAGTGCAATGAGAGTAGGGCTGAATGTAGTAGAATCCTAAGTCTGGAGTCAAGGACCAATTTGGCCACCAAGTGGCAAGCCTTGGACGTGTTATTTCATCTCTCTGACTTATTCTTCACTTGCTTATGATCAACATGCTGGAGTGGTGATGACTGACGTGGAACAAACAGTGGGGATGTAATTTTGCAGTAAATGATTCATATGAGTTGTTTTTATATTGTTTGTATAAATGGTTAAAAACTGCATGGATGCAGTTTATTTAATTTTTATTTTCACTTTATTGGAAAGACAAAGACAGAGATAGAGATGGAGAGAGCTTCCATTTGTTGGTTCACTCCCCAAATGCCTGCAGAAGCCAGAAGCTAGGCCAAGTCAAAGCCAGGAGCCTGTGACACAAGCCTAGACCCCTGTGAGGGTGGCAGGGACCCAAGCATTTGAGTCATTGCTCTGCCTCCCAAGATGTGCATTGGCAGGAAGCTGGATTTGAAGCAGGAGAGCTGACACTTGAACCAAGCACCAGGATATGGGATGTGGGCATCCCCAGCAGCATCTTAGCTATTGTGCCGAACGCCTGTCCCAGATGCAGAGTTTAACCAGTAATGGGAAGAACTTCTTTCTTTTCTTTTTTTCTTATTTTTGACAGGCAGAGTGGACAGTGAGAGAGAGAGACACAGAGAAAGGTCTTCCTTTACCATTGGTTCACCCTCTAATGGCCGCTGCGGCCGGCGTGCTGCAGCCGGCGCACCACGCTGATCCGATGGCAGGAGCCAGGTACCTCTCCTGGTCTCCCATGGGGTGCAGGGCCCAAGCACTTGGGCCATCCTCCACTGCACTCCTGGGCCACAGCAGAGAGCTGGACTGGAAGAGGAGCAACTGGGACAGAATCCAGTATCCCGACCAGGACTAGAACCCAGTGTGCCGGTGCCACAAGGCGGAGGATTAGCCTATTGAGTCGTGGTGCCGGCCTCTTTTCTTTTTAACAACAAAAGATTTATTTATTTGAAAGGCAGAGTTACAGAGAGAGAAGGATGGCTAGAGAGAGAGAGAGAGTGAGAGATAGAGAGAGATCTTCCATCTTCTGATTCACTCCCCAAATGGCCACAATTGCTGGAACTGGGCCAGGTGAAGTCAAGAGCCTGGAACTCCATCCAGGCCTCCCACATGGGTGGCAGGTCCACAAGTACTTGGGTCATTTTCTGATGCTTTCCCAGGCGGGGCTCATATGGGATCCCACGCGGTGACTTAACCCTCTGCACCACAACACCAGTCCTGGGAAGAACTTGCCAATTGTCAATGTGGCCCAGTGATGAGTGCTGCGTCTCAGGAAGGAGTCCTTCCCCCACTACTGGAGTGTGCCCGCAGAGGGCTGCCTTAGCTGTCAGCGAGTCGGCTCAGAGAGATCCTGACCTGCACTGAAGAGCCCAGACAGGCTGCACCGGCTCCCTTCTGAGGCTCCTTCCCATTCTGCACCTGTTTAATTCAAAAATTTACATACAAACCACACAGAGACATGAACCCAAACTCTTGAGTTGTACTCAGAAGATAGAATATAAAGCCCCCCTGCCCTGAAGTGAAAGTGGTGACTTTTATAGATCACAGTGGGGCTGGTGCTGCAGCGCAGCTGGTAAAGCCGCCACCCACAGTACCAGCATGCCATAAGGGCGCTGGTTCGAGGCCCGGCTGCTCCACTTCTGATCCAGCTCTCTGCTATGGCCTAGGAAAACAGTAGAAGATGGCACAAGTGCTTGGGCCCCTGTACCAGTGTGGGAGACCTGGAAGAAGCTCCAGGCTCCTGGCATTGGATCGGTACAGCTCCAACCATTGTACCAACTGGGTAGTGAACCAACAGATGGAAGATCTCTCTCTCTCTCTCTCTGCCTCTCCTTCTTTCTCTGTATAACTCTTTCAGATAATAAATCTTAAAAAATAAATCTTAAAAAAAAAGATCACAGTAAGAAGTCTGACATTTCTACTTTGTGAATCTTAGCTAAAGCTGAGGTTTGATTTTGAAATATGAAAGTAAACTGTGACTACCTCAATTTAAGTCTCTAGGATTTATATTTATATATAACCTTTAAATCCTCCCAACTCTTTGCCCTGAGAACAGAAGCTGTAATCTTACTTACAGCTACAAGTCTAGAGAGACACTTGTTCCAGGTTAATGGAAAACCAACAACTGCTTTTGCCTGGGCTCCTAGAGGTTTCCATCACCTCCTGATGTGAACGCTCATACCCAGGGACACATTTGTGAGTCTCACACGTTAAACTGGGCCCTTTGTAGGCTATGCTCAATTGCAAATTGCTTCAAAAACATTACAGCCTGATATTTTCGAGAGCACAGTTTGTTTTTAGACACCATCCTTCCGCAGTCGAAAGCTACTGCTTATCGTTGTTACTGCTAATGGCAAACCCACTTTACCCTCTGAAAACAACTTCTCGGCATCTTATTTGTGCTGTCACCACTCAAGCAGGCCTGTGGCTGACTTTCCCTGAACGTCTCCAACACCACCAACCCCCTGCCCCGTGCCCTACCCCAAGCAGAGAAGGGTGGAATGGAACAGGGCACACACAATGCCAGCGTTGGGAGGGTCCTGATAGTCCATCTCATCAGATTCAAGACATTGCCCCTCCTTCTACTAGGGATGAGGAGCACATATGAGGTGGGGGTGACGTCTCAAAGCAAGCGGCACCAAAGCTGAGCTGGGGCGCAGGTCTTCACCTCTGCTCTGTGCCCTGGGGGAGGTGGGTTGGGGTAGAAGCTCTGAAAAGTTGTAGGGAGGTGGTTGTAGCTGTCATGGGTGACTGCCAGCTGGCCATCGGACTTGCAAGCATGTCACCCCCTAGGGCCAGGGGAGACATGAGCCTGAGAACAGGGCCTTGATGAAGGAGGAGAGAGTGAGGTGGAGGTGGAAACTCAGAGAAGCGTCACAGAGGCTGATGTGCTGCCCCGAGACTGGGGCAGCTACGGTACACCTGGTGGACTAGTGCTACTCTCTGATACTCCTCAAGCAGCTTTGCGTTCTGAAGTGAAGAGGGAGTTGCTGGAAGGTAGAAGAGGCTGCCTGGCTTTTAGTTCTCTGGTGCTGTCCTCCAGTTCACATGGGGGCACCATTGGCCCATCTGAAAAGGCAGCGATGTCTGTCTGCCACCCTGGAGGAGCTGTAGGAGTGTGATAAGACCTCACACCTGGTACAGCCTTGACACTCTGCAGTCCATGCACTGGATTCCTCATCCTTCCTCTTGGTTATGGCGGAGTTAAAATATGGAATGGGGGCCGGCGCTGTGGCATAGCAGGTAGAACCACCACCTGCAGTGCTGGCATCCCATATGAGCACTGGTTCTAGCCCCGGCTGCTCTACTTCCAATCTAGCTCCCTGCTGATGGCCTGGGGAAGCAGAAGAAGATGGCCCAAGTGCTTGGGCCCCTGAACCCATGTGAGAGACCCGAAAGAAGCTCCAGGCTCCTGGCTTCAGATCAGCCCAGTGCCAGCCAAAGCGGCCGTTTGGGGAGTGAATCAGCGGATGGAAGATCTCCCTCTCTCTCTGTCTCTCTGTCACTGTCTCTATAACTCTGACTTTCAAATAAATAAATATATCTTTTTAAATATCCTATGGAATGAATCTAACAGGCACACATTCATTCCCTCACTCATTGGACATTTGCTGAGCGCCCTGGTGCTGTGCAATCCCTGGAAAAGCACAATGCCTACCTTCAAAGAGCACCAGACAGTGACGCAGGAGAGGGAAATGTGAACACAGGCTACGGTAGAAGCCCAGGGGCCCCCAGAAGCCAGAGGAAGGACCGCAGCCAACTTGGGTAGCTGTGAGAGGCTGCAGGAAAGGTTGGCAGGAAGAGACGATCCCTGGAAGGGAAGGAGGGCACAGGTGAACATTTCAGGCAAAGAGGGAGTCACGTGAACAGTGGTGTGGGATGGGGGAGGGGGACCGGACATGCAGACCTCGGGCCTCTTCGAGCAGTGCAAGTGTTACATTTATGAAGATGCAAATGTACCTGTGACCTGTGTGCCCACAGTGGACGCGTCCAGGGCCTGGTGGTGACAGAGGCTTCGAAAGGTCAGCCTCGCCTCAGCCCCTCCCCTGCCACACCGGCTTGCCCACCACCCGGGACACACTTCCAACTCCGAGGACCTGGGCGGCCGTCATTGCTCCTCTGACCTCAGCTGGCGCTTCCGCCTCCAGAAGACTCGAGTTTCCTCTTGTGTGAGATACAGGGGTCTGCTGAGCTGGCCCCTGAGGTCCGCTGAGCGTCCTGCACTGCTGCAGTTTGTCGTGGGCCTCTAAATCCCCTCCCCCGCCAGCCCACCTACAACCTCTCCACCTTCCAAAAAGAAAGCTCTTGGCGTTCCTCCCGGGATCCAGACTCGAGTCTCGCGGGTTTTTCCTTCCCACCCCAATGCCTCTCTGATTCCATCGTAACAGTTAAGGAGAAATAGCTTGGTCCTCAGAGAACTCAGAGCCTCGCTGGAGGACTAGAGAGCTCCAAAACGTGGACACAGACACCACCGCACCCCAGTGCCTAGAACAAGGTGCGGCCCGTGATGTGGTATTTGTAACATGCAGTGACAAAATGGGAGGAATCTGGGTTGTGAAACCTCCAAACCCAAGGAGACCTCAGAGGCTCTGTCTGCCCCTCGGTCTGTCTGGAGCCCTGCCATCCAGAACCCCTCTGCACTGCCCGCAGTGGGGCTGAGGCCTGAAGGTAGAGACGAGGGAGCGCTGTCCCCGCGGAGAAGACTCCAAGGGCGGAAGGCGGCAGGCCTTGCCCCTTTTCATTCTGCAAAGCCCCAATTCTAAGTCTGATTTCCGGCCAGCTGACTGTCACGGTGTGGTTTTCCAGAAGCAGCGGGTGAGACCAGGCGCCAGCAGTTTATCTGGGAGAGGATCCCAAGAAACACCCCCAGGGAAGGGGGAACTGAGACAGGGAAGGGGAAGGAAGCCTCACCGGGCACCTGATGCACCTATTAGTGCTCTGGGCAGCTGGGTCCCAGTGCCTCTGAGGATTCGAGGGGGGTGGGGGTGGGGATCCTAGAACAAGCCTCCAAGGTGTCCCACTTGTGGACGTGGACAAGGACCATGCGTGTTCTCACACCCTTGTTCACTACTGGTTTACGGCTGCTCCTGGGTGCGCTAACTCCCACCGCGTCCAGCCTGTCGTATGCAGGCAGGAGCAGGCGCTGAGCGTTTTCTGTAGCAGAGGAAAGTTCTGAAGGGGGTTTCAGCTGTAAGTCTCAGCCAAAAGGCAGAGTGAGTGCACAGGGGTGTGGGCGCTGGCAGCCCCTCTCCCGTGGCCGAGTGCCCAGTAAACCTCACAGCTCTGCCTTAGAGGTAAGAGGCTACAAATAGGATTTGTAAGGGGAAAATAAATACATCCAATTGATGGTCGCAAAGGACTAATAGTATCTGTATTTTATGGAAACTCATTATGCGCTTTGTATCCTCAACTTTCCTACATGCTGTCCTACCTCTCATGACCTATTCTAGAAAACCCCCATTCATTTTCCATAGTCCGGCAATGGTCACTTCTTTTATGCCCTTTACTGATTTCTGTGATAGAAGCATCTGCTCCCTGCTCTTTGCTCTGACAGCTTGTTATGCTAGCACTGAAATACCCTTGCCGTGTCGCGTCCTGTCTCCTTGCGTGCTCATCTCACCTGCTACTAAGAGCACTAAGAATCGCTGATGGTCGTCAAGTGCTTTAGTTATGTGTCAGGAACTCTTCAATACTTCATTTTAATTAACTCATTCAAACCTCTGAATAATCCTATGAAGTAGCTGTAATTATCCTTTCCATTTTGTGGATGAAAAAATCTAGGACAGAGAAGTTAAACAATTAAGCAATGTTCCCAACATCATGTAGTTATTGAAAGATAGAACTAGGATTTGGTTCCAACAGGTCAGTCTTCCAGGTCCCTGCTCTTAACCCCTGTGCAAAACAACCTCTCTTTGACTGGAGTAGAGAATGGGATCAAAGGTCTAAACTCTGGGGATGTTTCTAGCAGTTTTTACAGGGCCCTCATATCATGCAAGAAAAGATGGTTTATAGAGATTCTTCAATAAGAAATATGCAAAATATAAGATTTGTATTGAGGAAGGATCACTTTTGTTAAAGTACATGGGATCAACGGAAAGAGGAGACACCAGGAACAGAGGGAAAATTTGAGGGGTTGTGAAGGTGACCCAGGGAAGAGAGGAAGCCCCAAGTTCAGCATGGAACCTCATCTTCCAGGCCTGCACCGGCCCCTCCCCAACACTCAGAGCTGCTTATCATGCATGTGCGACTGCAGCTGGCCACAGGGCATGGGGGCTGGAAGGAACCCGAGCTGTATCTGCCCAGTGGGAAGCCTTTTGCTCACTAAGGACTGGCAGAGGCCCTGCCCACACACACTATCCACTCCAAACAGCTTAAGCTATTTTATTCCTGGCTGTGTCATGGTTTTCCCTACTTCTGCATTTTGAATATCTGGTTTCCTCTGCTAAGATGCTCTTTGACTCATTCGTTCTTTCCTTCCATTTATTCATACAACTCATTTTTTAAGCACCTACCATGTGTCAGAATCCTCTCTGGTGATGAGGATTTGGTGGGGAGCTCACAATCTAGGGAGGAGATACACATGAATGAAATAATCACACAAATGTAGCAGTATACGCTCAGACCCATGCTTTGAGGGTCAAGTCAGGGGGCCTGTGTATTGGCTGCTGGGGACTCATCTGCTTTGGGATGCAGGTGGCTGTGGTGAGATCATGAATGGGACAATATGGCTTCCCCTAGGAAGGGACTTGAGTGCTGAGGTGTGATGAACAAGTAGGAGCTAACCAGGCAAAGATAGTAGGGATGGGGGTGGCCCTCCCTCCTGCAGTCACCCACACATGCATGAATCTCTGAGCCACTTGAGATGGGTCTGGAGTGGAGTGGAAGTTCAGCAGGGAGGGAAGGGGCTGAGAACCAAGGCAGGAGGGTGGAGCTTGGAGAATGAGGAGGACTCTGTGAGAAATTCTCATAGCAGGCTGCCAAGGGACTTTTTAAAATAAACAGGTTTATTTATTTATTTATTTATTTGGACAGGTAGTTATAGACAGTGAGAGAGAGACAGAAAGGTCTTCCTTCCATTGGTTCACTCCCCAAATGGCCGCTACCCCCAGTGCTGCACGGATCCAAAGCCAGGAGCCAGGCGCTTCCTCCCGGTCTCCCATGTGGATGCAGGGCCCAAGCACTTGGGCCATCCTCCACTGCACTCCCGGGCCACAGCAGAGAGCTGGCCTGGAAGAGGAGCAACTGGGACAGAATCTGGCACCTATGTGGGATGCTGGTGCCGCAGGCGGAGGATTAACCAAGTGAGCCACAGCGCCGGCCCCAAAATATCTCGTTTTAATTTGTGCTTCTATGTTGTAAAATTCTTCCCCTTCCCAAACTTTCAGCAAAATCCTTTGCACACAAGTGATGTGTGCGCACAGCTGTGGGGAAATCAGGGCGATGGCTGAGTACTCAGTGCAGGCCAGCGGGGGACAATGGGGAGAGCAGTCACCTGGCACAAGGCACAGTGAGGAAACAGGCAGCTAGAAACCAGAATTTGGAGGCAGCAGTGACAGGAGCTATTCATGGAATCAGCTACACCTCAAAGACACAGACTTTTGTTGGCATCCAATTGTATTAGTGATTAGTGTGAAATGATCATCAAAGATAGCATTAAAGAGATATGATGAGAGCAGGCACAGCTTAGGCAGCTGGAAGAAGAAAGGGACATTCCCACGGTGGTCTCATTCTAGTATCCAAGACACAGTTGTTTAAATGCCAATGTAAGGTCCCCGAAAGTCACTACCCAGCCAGCCACAGCCCAAAGTACACGAAAAAGTCCTTGGAGAAATGATTAATTGGACATGTATTTGTTGAACGCTTCTTATTTTTGGGGTACAAAGTCACTTGGGAGCGGTCCTTGGGCCCTGCCCCTTCAAGCACTCAGTATAGGAAGGAGAAAACATGTGATCAGTTCTGTGATGGGGCAGGTGCAAGCATGGTGAGAGTAGTAGAGCTTGACCCACCCGGGGCATTAGGACAGCTTCCTGGAGAGGGGACACTTAAATGTGGGTGCCTGGCAGGCAAAGGGAGAGAGGCAACAGGCCAGAAGCGGAGGCTCCTAGGTTGTCTATGCTGCCTCCTGCTGGTCTTACCCTTAAGTACAGAGTGCTGGGCCTTGATTCCTCTTGTTTTCAACAAGTCATCTCTTTACCACTCAATCCTAGGACTTTGTGGTATGGTGCAGCTTTGTGCATGTTTGAATTTGAGAGTAGGAAGAGCTGGAGTTGGATAGGGGCAAGGACCGTCCATTGTTCAAGAATCTCCTGCCCCAAATACCAGCCGCTACCATATTTAATTCCATCTTTGGCCTCTTACTCCTTTGGCTCTGACAACCACCACTAAGGAGACACCAATACAAACAAAAAGCCCTCCACAGTATACATGTGCTGCAAATAGATTCCTGGAGCTTAAAATCAGAGAAGATGTAGAGGCAGAGGAAGGGGAGTAGGGAATAACAGGGAGCATTTGGATTTTTGCAAATTTCTTGCTACTTCTTTTCTTGTAGACTCCACTTTTCTAACCTCAAGACACACATACTGTAAGAGTTCCTAAGTCGTCTTAACAGAGGTAGGAATGTGAGACAATGTAATGGAGAGCTGGAGTCCCTGGACCCAGGGTGAGTCTGGCTGTGTGACCCTGAGCACACTGAGTGCTCTCTCTGGCCCGCATTTCTGCACTTGTCAAGTGAGCAGTTGGTTAGATGCTCCTCAGGGGCTCTTGTAGTCTCAGCCTCTGTAGCTTCTGGCCTGGACAGCGAGCAGGTAGACAGCCTGTCTCTGTGGCTGGTCAGGCTTGGGCCACGTGTATCTACCTTAGCTAGACAGGGCTGCAGAATCATGCAAAGTAGCCCCAGAGGAAGACATTGATGGCTAGCAGGATGATGGCGTTGACATCACAGATGCTTCTCCAGAGTGGCTCCTCCTCGATGCTGGTCAGCTTCTGCTCCAGTGCAGCCTTCTCTGATGGACTCAGGGTCTGCTCTGGGGCCCGGGAGAGCCCACAGAACCAGCCCCAGAGCAGCTTTCCCCAGGACCTGTGTGGGGCTGGAGGAGAAAAGCCAGAGGGGGAAGGGAAATTGGGAGGAGAGGCAAATGAGAGAGCAGGAGGAGAGATGATGAGAAACCAAAGAAAGGGGTGAGGATGCCCAGGAGGTGGGGGGGTGGCCTTTTTTGCGAAGCCCAGGCAGGTGCCAAGGCCGGCTCCAGACAGCACTGACTACAGCCAGACAGCGAATGCATCTCATCACTGCAAGGGATGCGTGCTGAGGACGGAGCATAAGGCAGTTCGCCCAGATTCAGAGCGTGAAGGAGCACTGCCTGAGCTAGGCAGGGCCAGCTCCGCCTTGGGTTGACCAAGGCCGCACCCAGATCACTCGGCTCCTCTGAGCTGCAGGTTCTTCTCTCCCAAATGCGGCCACGACAGATGCCCTGCTGAGCTCCAGGTTTTCTGAGCGTCAGATGGGGACAGAGACTTGACAGCGCTCTGAAAAGCATCATGGCTGGAGCCGGGCATGAGGATCTGGTGAATAAAGTGCCCTCACTGTGCAGGAGGCTGAGTGAGGCACACACCGTCTCCCCAGTGTGGGCAGCATTAGAAGGAGGTACAATTCACCAAAAAACAAAGAGAAAGTAAATGTTTTAAAGTTAGCACATAGCATATTAAAATAATATAAAACCCTTTCACTGTGATGGAAAAGAATGCACTAGGAATGGATGGTTTATTATCTGAATGGCCTTAGAATGTAGTCCTTGGTAAGTCCAATGCAACCAGAGGGCATCAGAGAAGCAAGGACTCTGGGTACCATCCAATCTGGCTCCCTCATTGCGCAACAGTGAAGGTGCAACAGAGGGAGGAGACCTGTTTAAGGCCCCAGGGCCACAGAGCTGCTTCCACAGCTCCAGCTCACCCCCAGCTCTGTGTGCCTACCTCTCTCATTGGATTCTGAGAATGGTCCTGGAGGTAGAGGATGCACAGGGCTCTCTGTGAGTTCACGTGCCCTGGGACTCTGTGTCACAGCAGCAGTGACCAAATGCTATGCAATAGCTCGGTAAATCTACATCCATCTAAAACCTGGAACACATATGCTGCTTTTAGATCTACTCTGTCATCCCTTTATTTGGGAATAATTCACACCACCTGGCTTATGTCTACTGCATGCCTAGTGGGAGGCGTGCTCCTGCTGTGTCCATTCCGGCGGGGAGGGGCATTTGCACACATCAGTGCCAGCCCGTCCCTGCCCTTTCACCCCTCCTTGGTGGTGATTTGGGGAGGAGCATGAATTTCCCTCATTGGACTTCTTAACCAAAGAGGTGCTTCTTTTTTCTCCTTTGAGAACAAGGCACCCACAGGAAGCGGGTGCTGCTCTCTGCTCTCCAGGGCTGGCACTTCCCCTTGGCCTGGGGGCCAGCCGGGGAGAAGGTCTTGCTACTATGAGTCTGCTGTTTCTGGGGTTCGGTGGTGGAAAGGACCGCTTAAGCTGTCCCCTTCTCTCTTCCCTGGGGAGTCACCTGTGGGGTTCTTCCCTCCCTCTGTCCTCCCTCTCTCGGTAGCTATTTTGTTGTTAGGTTGCTCTCTTCCAAGCTCTAAGTTTTACAGGGGTCACTGCAGTGATGGGCGCAGTAGAGAGAAGCATGGGCCTCAAAACTTGAAGAGACAGGGAGTTACATTCTGCGAATCAAAATACACCAGAACCAACTGGGCTCAGTGATGAGAGGGTGACTCGGTCTTCGGGGCTGCCTTATGAAGTGAGCCTGTATGCGTGTTGATGTTGGATGCTTTTTGTGGGGACCATTGGCCTTGGCCTGCTGCAGCTTGGACAGGAAGCTGTGAACTTTAGATTTTGGTGGGATTCTGGAACTTAGCAGGTCGTCAGCTCTAGGCACGTGACTGCTTCCCCCAAGTCAGGGTCTTAAGCAAAATGAAGAGTCACAGTAAGGCTGGCAGCCTTCTCAGGCCTCAGGGACAGCCCAGGGCCCCTAGAACTGGTTAAAGACCTGAGCACCGAACACCATGCCATTGCCAGCCGCATGGCTCAGCAAGCGATGCCCTGATAGTCTTGTCTATGCTTGGAACCTGCTGGAATCATTCCAAGTTCGACACGCCGGAATCTGGGTCGAGAACTGAGGTATCGTCCAAGGTCCTGATGGAGTTAGGCCAATCCAAAGGCAGAAAGCAGCTGCTAGAGGACCCCCGCCCACCGTGGAGGCATCCTCTCACTGAGGCAGGACTTGCACTCAGGGTTTCCTTCGCCTGGCATCTGTCAACCGCAAGGCCAAGCGAAACTGACTTTGGACTTACCAAATGAACTGATTTAACTTTTTGAATTTGAAAATTTGCCTAGGGAAGTTTATAGTTGGGAAATCTCTATAATGCCACTGTTCGTTGGTACCTAATCCTATGTATCATGTCCAAAATAGATACGTTTTATCTTATAATAATTTTCAACATTAGGTACTAGATGGTTTTGCAGGAAATTTGATGAATGGACAATGCTAACTCAGTTGCAAACCCCCAGGAGGCAAAATCAACAGCTGCAGGAGACAGCCCTGGGTGTGGTGGCTGTGGGGGAACCTTGTGGAGACAGACACAGCTACGTGCACACGTGGCCACTCTTGACCCTTGAGGGCCAACCATGCTTTGTGTGGCTGTGGACAGAATCGCACAACACAGAAATGCTTAATAAAAGTGGTGCTGAGGTCTGTGGGGGAAGGGGTGTCTCTAGCCTTCCATGTGGAGGGAACTCAGCAGGTGGAACCCTCTTGCTCTCTGCCCGGGGCCCATTCATTCAGGTGGATTTGGGAAGGATAAAGAAGACCTTCCTGCTTAGTCCCTCCCTCCTTCACAGGCTAGGCTGCGCCCTGGATCAGTTCTGGAGGTGACTGGATGCAGTGTCTGTCTAATCCTGGGGTTCAGTGTTAGCAGGTGCACCTCCCCGGGGGTATAAACCAGATCTCTTGTCCTACGCTTTATCAGTAATGAGGGCAATATTTTCACCCCCATCTGCCTTCTTCATTTGTCTGTTTTTTCTCAAGTAATTCAAGGGCATTATGGGAAGGGTGATATTTTGGGGGCTTCCTCAGAGACCCTATTCCCAATGACCCCAAACGGGGGCTTGGTGGGCCCTGGCATGGTGTCTGTGTCCACCGTGCATTCCCCTGTGTGGCCCCAGCCTACCTGCCGGCTTCTCCCTGCCCTGACTGGAGTTCTCTGCTGCTCCACTTCCTGCAGGGCACGCTCCTGCCGGCCTCTCCGATCTCCCCGGAGAACTCTCCAAGGCCTCCTCTTCTTGGCCAGGGTGGGGGCAGTCGCGCGTCCACCAGGTCAGGCGGGCGAGCTAGAGGAAAGCAGGCAGTGTTTGCAATCCCTCCCTCTGGCTAGAAGCTGCAGACAAAGCGAGTCCCGCTCACGGGAGGCTGCCAGAGCAGCAGCAAGGAGCACCAGGAGCAAGGCCAGGGCGGGGAGCCAAGCGAGTGGCCCAGTGGGAACCCTGTTTGTGAAACATGAGCACTTGCCCTGTGCCAGGGTCCCGCCCGGTACTGGCATTCAAGCCGAGCCAGGCACAGGCCTTGGCCCCAGGGAGCTCGCAGGCTGGGAGACACAAGGCTGCGCAGGGGGTGAGTACTGATAACAAAGGCTTGGAAGGTCTGTGACAGAGCTGATTTTTTTAAAAAGTTGGTTGTTGGCGATGTAGAGTCACCGCGGACTTTAGGCAGGGGTGGAGACCGGATGTGAGGGGATTTTCAAAAGTCTCTTGGAGTGAACTGAGGACTGGAGGCTGTTGCCGGATTGATGCAAGAAATAATAAGTGTGTAGGGTGATAGGCAGGCAGGAGCAGCCTTGAGGACCAACAAGGAGGTAAAATCTCCTAACCAGGGTGACTGAAGTGCCGGGGAGGGGGCGGGGAGAGGCTACCAGGGCTCCTGCTCCTGCCCTGGATGATCAGGTGGGTAATGGGGCCCCTCCCAAGGACAAGGAGTGCGTGTTGGGGGGGAGTGCGAGAGGACCTGCACGCACACACAGGTGACGACCAGCTTGCAGGGTCTGGAGGAGCCAGGCGAGCAGAAGCAAAGCAGTGTCCGCTGGACAACTCTGCGGCTGGCTTTCCGTCTTCTCCCTCGCGGGGACTCGGCAGAGGGAAACACGGCCAGCTCTCCGGCTGATGTCAGCGGTGGTGGACCCAGCCGTGAGCTCTGAACCGGCTCCTTTCCAGCCAGGCTCTCCTGGCCCACAGTTGTTTGCTACATGTTGGGCCGAGTGTGTGCAGCTGTGCCCAGCCCAAGCAGGCTTCCCAGTGGGATCATGAGAGCTTGGGCCATTTCTTTTCCTGTCTGCATCCCTCAGCGAGCCTTACATTTGTGCTGTGTGGCAGTAGTGACATATGAGCTGTGTCTCTGTGCCACCAAGAGGCAATGAGATTTGGCAGTTTTTTAATCTTGGGGGAGGGGAGTTTGGCTGGAGATCAAGAATTAAGCAAAGCATCATGTTTCTGTAGAACGCTGTTGAGTTCCTAGTCCAAGGACACCGCAAAGTGGGAAGTGTAATGGGTCACAGGTGGGTTATCACTTATATTTTATGGGGCATGGACCAAACAAAGCCCATGAAGTCAGAAGAGTGAGGAGCAGGGTAGAAAAATACTCAGGAGGGAGAACATCATGGAAGTGAACCGAAGAGCGATCACCAGGGGACAGGAAGTGGTCAGTGGTGCCTGCGTCTCCTGGGAACTCAGGAGGAAGATGGAGAGGTAACCCCTGTTTCACCGGAAAGAGGCTATCAGAGAGCTGGGCGAGAGCAATTTCACAGGACCGCTGGGGCCAGCGGCCAGGCTGCCGAGGCTTAGGAAAGAAACAGGAGGTGGGAAGTGGGGGCAGGGAGTGGAGACCGCTCTTAGCACAAGTTTGCTGGAGAAGGAGGCAGCAGTCACTGAGGGAGAACAGGACCCAGCGAGGGACCTCAGATTGGGAAAGACGGCCGGCCGGCCATGTGAGAGTGAGAAGCAGATGCTGGGGGAGAATCTGGATGCGGAGGCGCAGGAGGGGTTGGTTCAGGAGTGAGGCACCAGGAAGGCAGCTTCCTAGTGGGTGGTCTGCTTGCTGCGGGACTCAGTGAAACCAGAGCTCTACTGTCCTGCTGCAAACCCTAAAGTGCCACCTGCACAGGGGCACTGATAATGAATTCCCCCAGTACTTCAGGGACTGACACCTGCCATGGCCTTTGTTATGGCTGCACTGCACCCCTGAGAATCCCTGTGTTAAAGGCCTAACCCCTAGTGCCTCAACACGTGATTGTATTTGGAAATGGGGTCTGAAAGATAAAATTAAAAGGGACAGCACTGTGACACAGCCATGTAGGCCACTGCCTGCAACGGTGGCATCCCATGTGAACTCCAGTTCAAGTCCTGGCTGCTCCACTGCTGATCCAGCTCCCTGCTAATGCTCCTGGGAAAGCAGCAGGGGATGGCCCAAGTGCTTCGGCCCCTGCACCCATGTGGGAGAACTGGATGGAATTCCAGGCTCCTGGCTTTGGACCAGCCCAGCCCTGGCTGTTGCAGCCATTTTGGGATTGAATAGTGGATGGAAGATCTCTTTCTCTCTTTCCCTCATTCCTTCTCTGTAACTCTACCTTTCGAATAAATAAATACACGCTTAAAAATAGAAAAAGTGAAGACTGAATGAGGTCATTAAAATGGGTCCTAACCCAATATGGCTACTGTCCTTAAAGCAAGAGATGGTCACAGACAGGCACAGAGAAGTTCACGTGACCACAGAGAGAAGGCAGACATGTACAGCCATCGAGAGAGCCCTCGGAAGAAACCAGCCCCGTCGACGCCTCGGTCTCGTCCTCCTCAAATTGAGAGGCAACCAATGCCTGTGGTTGAGGCCACTCAGTCTGCAGTGCTCATCCATGGCACTGCCAGCCAGCTGATGCGGGGGGTAAGGATAGAAAGGACTTCACAAGACTGGGCGTCACTGGTAAACCAGGAAGCTTGGGAGAGGTGAGAGTCCTCCATCTAGAAGACTGTTTTCTCAGGCACTTCTCCCCCAGCCACCCCCAAAAATCTCCATTCATTCTTCAAGGTTAGACTCTGTGGGTGCACTCCAGTCCCAGGGTGACTGCCTCCCCTTCTGTGCTTGGCCCCTCCCACTGAGCTTGGTCCTCCTTTGCATGGGGAGGGATTGTATGGCACCTGCTTCGCCCTGGGGACAGACACACGCAGGGACTCTCATCTATGGCACCTGAGCACAAGGCCTGACACACAGCAGGCACTCACAGAGAGGTTGTGAATTGCACGGGCTGCTTTCTGCTTGGGAATTCACAGCCCCACGAGTTCTCCCTCCCAAGGACAAGTGCGTGGCCATGGGGATACCGGAACCAAGCAAACGAAGCGCTGTCCCGGCACTGGGCGGGGCAGGAAGCGCCACTTGCCTTTTCCACAGGGATGGGGGCTGTGCAGAGGCTGACAGTGACGATGACTATGGCAGTGAGTCCGCAAAGGAGCAGCGCGAAGTACAGGTAGTGGAAGTCCTTCAGCACGGCTGGCCTCCGGTCCACCTCCCCGCAGGCCGGGGCCGGGTACGAGAACTCCAGGACCATGCGCAGAAGCCCCACTCCCAGGCCAAACATGAGGCCCCAGAAGGCTCCCTGTGGAGAGAGGGGTGGGACCCAGGGAAGACCCCAGGACCCTGCAAGCCACCTGCCCCCGCTCAGTCTCCCACTGGCTTCCCCCTGAGTGAGCTCCCAAGCCATGCTGAGACCTTCTCTGACCTAGGGACAAGCTAAGGGGTGTACTGCCAGGGACAGGGGCTGTACCAGGTCTGGCAGGCAGAGCAGGATTTGAATCCGGGCTCCATGTCAGAATGACTCTGAACCAACCCCCTGACCCTGCCAACCGAGAGTCCTCCCTTGGGCAACGATCAGTGGACTTAGTTAGTACCAAGGAGTGGGTACTTGATATTCAGCTACAGCGGAATAAGCTTGTGTAATAAATGGGGAACACCAGGATCCCCAGCCACCTTTGTGCTATGAAGAATCAGAAAGAACAGAGATTTTGCTTTCTTCACTAGAGCTCCCCTAACCTGTTACCTGCTCCTGTGCCTGTTCGGATGACTTATATTTTAAAAAGTGAGATTCTGGGAGCGGCGCTGTGGCGCAGCGAGTTAACGCCCTGGCCTGAAGCGCCATAATCCCATATGGGCACTAGTTCAAGTCCCGGCTGCTTCACTTCCGATCCAGCTCTCTGCTATGGCCTGGGAAAGCAGTAGAAGATGGCCCAAGTGCTTGGGCCCCTGCACCTGCATGGGAGACCCAGAAGAAGCTCCTGGCTCCTGGCTTCGGATCAGTGCAGCTCTGGCCATTGCGGCCATCTGGGGAGTGAACCAGCGGATGGAAGACCGCTCTCTCTATCTCTACCTCTTTTTGTAACTCTTTCAAATAAATAAAATAAATCTTTAAAACAAAGAAAAAGTGAGATTCTGATCATGACATCAAAAACTCTCGGATGGGCAGAGACACCCGAATTGGACGACGAGGTCTTGCTGTGTGCTGGGCTCATCACCTGGCTTAGGGAGGCCGTCAGGGAGAGACTCTGAGATCTTCTCTGCAGTGAACGTGAACTCTCACGATGTCCTTGTGGAGTTGTGTCCACGGCATCACTGCCCAAGGCCCAGCCTGGAGAATCGGGCCTATCTGTTCTATGTACTCCTGGGGAAGGACCAGCTCTCCAGTCCCGGGAGCCCTAGCTTCCTCCCGGCCTGTCAGCTTGCAGCGTGGTCATGCGGGTGATGTGTGCTCAGGCCCCGCTGTGAGTTCACACCTGGCTGCCTTCCTGCCAGCGCTGTTTTGCTCACGCACAGAACTGCAGGGCGCTGGAGACAGCGTGGACTCTGGAGAGCTCCGAGCCTGCTTTCACTCTCACACACACTATCCCTCCTTCCCGTGGGTCTCTCAGGTCTCAGCTCAGGTGTCACTTCACCCAGGGAGTCCACCCTGACGCCCTCCCAGGAGACCCTAGGCTGAGTGCTGTGCTTGATGCCCCCAGCAGCCATTAAGCATTTGTACATTAGCTTGTTAGGTCATTTCTGCCCCCTGGGGGCTCAGCAACCTTCCCAAGAATTCTACCATTGCGTTCCTGGAGCGGCCCTGAGTCAGTGACTGAATCTAGACCTGTTGCTATGGTCAGGGAGACGGACGGCCACAAAGACCAGAGCATCGGCGGGAGCTCCAGACCCCGTGCTGCAGGGGCAGGGACAGGTACGCTGCACTCACGGGCTCCGTGACCCTCTTGCAGAAGATGGCCAGCAGGAAGAGGGCGGTGATGGGCGGGGCCAGGTAGCTGGTGACAGACTGGATGTAGTCGAAGAGCTGCCCGCTGTTGGAGCTCTGGATGAGAGGGATCCAGAGGATGCTGACGACCACCAGGAACACCACGAACACTCTGCCAGGGAGAGCACAGCGCGCCGTGGGGCACCCTCGGCTAGGCCTGGCGAGGGCTGGGGGAAGGGCGAAGGGCTGGGGATGCGTGGTCACTGACGCACAGAAGGTCAGAAAGCCGGAATCCCAAATATTAAGGTTCAGAAATCAAGAGTGCTAAAGCCCCGGAACACAAGAATTCCCAATCCAAACCCCCAGAATTCATCGGGCGCCTTCGAGATCATGTCACTCACCTATTGCTCATGGTTTGTTCCATACCTTTCACTCCACCACCCGCCCCAGTACAAGGCCTCAGATCTCTGCTTGGGAAGCTTTTCCTTCTCTTTCATTCCCAACCCTGCACGGGGCAGAGGCCTTGTCCACGCTCCTTCAGCTCCCACCGGCTCTCCTTGATGTTGGCACTGAGCTTAGGGAAGGAACCCATCCTCCTCATCCTGGCCTGAGCCTAAATCCCTAAAGTACTCCTGATGTACGATTTGTGCAGATGTGGGAACAGAAAACTTTTCTTGCAAGGGCTTGATGTAGTGATACAAATAGCCACAAGATGGAGCCCAAATCCCACTGACTGATGAAAGAAGTGGCATGGAGACCACAGAGTGTGCCAAGAGACAGGGGCTGCTTCCTTTGAGATGTCTTTGCACACCTGTCTTCTGCCTCCCCTTCTCCTTCTCCCAGGCTCCACCAGAGCAGTGGCCACCCAAGTGGCTCCTCCTACCACTCATCCCCTCCCTCGTCCTCCGGCCAGATCCTGGCTGGTCTCTCCTTGCTCTGAGCTGGGGGTGCACATCTGAGCAGGCAGGAGGACCCCGTCAGGATCCCATGGAGGGGACAGTGAGTGCAAAGGCAGGGGTGTGAAGGAACATGACATCTACTTAATCCACAGAACGTCTGCATGCATCCAACGGTGGGGGAAGCTAAGAACCTCTGTCCAGAAGCTCAGTTAGCCAAGCTTAAAGTACAAAACCAGGATTTCAGAGAGGGCGCATCAACCCCATGGAAACCACAACCCCCCAGCCTATGGAGAGCAAGACTACTCAGCCACCACGCTACTCCTTTAAAAGCATAAAACAGCCCCCTACAATGTGAAGTTCCAATTCTTTGGCTTGGTGTCAAGGCTCTGTGTCACCTGGAGACAATCTGCCATGACCTCTCTGTGTTCCCTGTTGCTCCATCTTAAACAGTGAGCACCCTGAGGCAGGGCTATGTGACCCTGGCACGGGGACATGCAAGGTGGATCTGAGGGATGAAATGAGCAGCCTCTTGGGTGTCTGGGGGTAGCAGCCGGGGTTGGGCTGAGACCCTGGAGGGAGCCGCTTGCTCACTTCCCTCCCCTGTGCACCATTCACCTGTCCTAACCCAAGAGCTTTGCCATCTTGTCTCAAGCACCCCGTTGATCAAGTCAAGAGAAAAGAAAGAGGCAGGGAAGAGATTTTTTTTCTCCCTCCCCATTATTCCAGAAGGGGTGGAGTGGCCCACAGTGGGGTAGGGGCTTACCTAAGGGCACAGGAGAGTGCTGCTGGTCCTAGAACCCAGGGCCCTGTCTGCAACCCAGGGTCCCACCCCAGCCAGAGTCTTCAGGGAAACCAGAGCAGCAGGAGACCAAAGAGGGGCGGGGCTCGGCCTGCAGGGAGGGGCTGCTGGAAGGAGGGAAGCAAGGGCCGGCGCACCTGCCCACCACCATCAGCTCCTGCTCTGTTGCCTTGTTGCGGAGGCGCCGCCACACGTCGACTGCGAACAGGGTGCTGCTGCTGTTGAAGGTGGAGGTGAGCGAGCTCATGAGGGCAGCCATCATCACGGCGATCATCAGGCCCCGCAGACCTGGCGGACAGGAGCCGTGGGAGGATGGCCAGCCGGTGGGGCCTGGCAGGTGGGACTGAAGATGGCCGGGAAAGGCCCTGGGGGAGTTCCCACCTGCACCTGCACCTGCACAGCCAAGGAGTCCAGGAGCCCGCAGAGCCAGAGCAGGGTCTGGCCAGGCCGCGTGGCCTTGGGTGTGGCTCATTTGTCCTCTCCAGCCTCAGTTTCCTCATCTGTGCCATAGGGCATGGGAGACAAGGTGCTATTTAGAGCTCTCTGCAGCTTTCTAGTCTGTCTGGATCCATAGCTTTGTAGACTTAGGCAGCGTCAGTAACACCCTCCATGTGGGGCTAGGGTGACTGCTGCTGACCAGTGCCTGTTGACAACTGTGTGCTGTGTGGAATTTTGTGCCTTCTTCCTGACACCTCAGTGCTGGGCTGAAGCCCCAGCCTGAGAGGCAGATGCGGCGGCTGTTTGTGAGTTCTGCTGGGAACTGGCTGGGTGAGTGCCGCTGCTCCCTGGACTGGTCCTGTGCCCTTCTGAGCCTGGTTCTCCACGCAGACAAGGGGAGGCTCCCTGACGACAGTGACGAAGCTACTGGAACTGCGACTCCCGGGGGGATGACCTCCAGCCTTGGTCCCACCTCCGTCCTCTTCTCTCCATGTTCTGATGGAGCTAGACCCCTCCCTGTGGTTGAAGAGGCTCACCCCACCTCCCTGGGGGACCCCCCAGGTGGGTTGCAGTCAAGTGTTGCAAACACAGGTCCCCACTTCCTCGGGCCTCCCACTTCCCTCGGAAGTTGCCAGCATCTTTCTGGTCCCTTGCCGTACACCTCAGGGTTATCTTAGGCCCCTCCTTGACTCTCCACCCTTCATCGGCCCCTCTGTGGCTGCTCTGTCCTAGTTGGGTCTCCAATCAGCTCTGCTATTTCTTTGACTTATTTCTCATTTTATGGGCAAGATGGAATAGCCCTGCTCACCCACTGCCTGCCACAAGCCCAATCTCAGTAGCCTTGCCATCCTACCTTGCGCAGCCAGGAGCTGGGAGCCCTCTTGGAGCCCCCGTCAGTCACCATACCCTGCCCGTTCTGCCTCCCGGACACCTTCAGCTCCCTCCTCGTCCTCTCTAGAGCTGCGGACTCATCCCAGTCGCACTTCCCTGGACTGGACTGCTGCCACCCCTCCTCCACTGTCTCCCGGCTCCTGCCTAAGCCTGCCTCCACGCCCCAGAGGTGCAGTCAGCCATGCTCTGTCCTAAAACCCCAGTGCCCTCTGCCGTCTCTGGAGCGAAGGCTACGTGCAGGACAGGGTCTGGCCATGGCAGCCTCTCCAGGAAGGCTGTCTTTCTTCCTCTGGCCTCCGAGTCCGCCCTGGGCCGCTCTAGTTCAGAGGTCACAGTCTCTCCGCCTTGGGCCTTTGCACACCCAGCCTCTCATCCCTAAAATGGCATTCCCAGGCCGCCACCCCCAGCTTTGTCAGCTTGGGATTTGCCTTGGGACATAGCTCCATTTCCTCCTCTCTGGGAGACCTTCCTGACTCTTCCCAGACTGGGTCACAGCCAAGTCTCAGCTGAGTGTCCGGAAACAGCAGGAAGCCGGGCCAGGGCCTGGCCCTCCTCTGCAGCCCCAGGACCCGAAAGCCGAGCAGGTGCCTTCCAAACACTGCTGCAAAGTGTGGCTGTGTGCATGTGTGTGTCAGGCAGGGGTGCGGAGTGAGGATTTCTCTTTGCTCTTCCCATCTGTTCTTAGTGCTGACCCTGGTGGGCAGCAGGGATCAGAGGAGGCTGAGCAGGGAGATGGGACTCACCAATGGGCATGAGCCCCATGACCAGCTTGGGGTAGGCGATGTTGGAACATCCCACTCGGGCCCCGCAGACTCTTTGGCAGATGTCGGGGTCCACACAGCCCACCTCGTCTGCAAAGAAAGGGGTGGCAGTTAGAACAATGGGGCCCTGTGCTTTCTCGGGGTCACCCCGTTTGCTCTCTGACTCCCGGAGATGCTGGCAATGACCATGACCCTGGTGGTGTCAGGGCCTCTGGCCAGTTTCTTACTTGTGTTCTACCCTGCAAAGCTTGAGAGTTCTTTGGGTGTCAGGCCTTGCATCTTTGTTCTTTTTTTTTATTTGTTTGGAAGGCAGAGTGAGAGAGACAGAGGGAGGAAGGGAGGAAAGGAGAGAGAGAGAGAGAGAGAGAGAGAGAGAGAGAGAGAGATGGAGGTAGGAGGAGAGAAAGAAGGAGAGAGAGAGAGAGAGAGAGAGACAGGGAGAGAGAGAGAAATCTACCATCCACTGATTCACTCCCCAAATATCTGCAACAACCAGATCTGGGCCAGGCTGAAGCCAGGAGCCAGACCTTTATCCTGGTCTCCCACTCGGTGGGCAGGGATTCAAGTAGTTGGGCCATTTTCTTGTGCCTTCCCAGGCGCATTAGCAGGAAGCAGAGTAGCTGGGACTGGAACCAGCACTCTTCTATGGGATGCGGGCTTCCCAAACAGTGGCTTAACCTGCGGCACCACCATGCTGGCGGCCAGGCAGTGCCTGATGATAAAGGAACGGAAACATCCTTGGGAGGTGTTTTCCGCCCGTGAGGGGGAAGCAGGGCTTTCAGACGGCATTCAGACATTGGTCTCTTCCACTGAAGGGCGACGAGTTCAGCCCACAAAGCCCAGATGCTGTCTCTGTTCTTACCAGGGAAGCAGCCTCAGCTCCCGCCCAGCATTGCCCAGGGCACCTTGTCCTCGCATCCCCTGCCAAGGAGCAAGGCGAGCACTCACCTGGGTACAGGGCCCGGCTGATCATGCCCGGCATGACGATGAAGAAGGTGGGCAGGATCTTCAGGTAGCCCCCCAGCACTGAGCCTCCCTTGGCGTGGGACAGACTCTTGGCGGAGAGTGACCGCTGCACAATGACCTGCACAGGAGCATAGCACAGGGGTGTGGCCCCTTGCCGGGGGAGCTCTGCCCAGCCGCACGTGCGCCCTGACCCCGTTCCTGTTCCCAGCCCAGGACCAGGCCCACTCCTCTGTGTCTCCTGTGCCTGAATTCTCTGCAGAAAGCCCCCCCCACTCCCTGGTGGGCTTGGATACACCTGCCTGGGGCATTACCTGGTCTGTGCACCAGCACCAGGTGGCCAGCACGGTAAGTCCAAAAATGAGACCCGGCCATGGGATGTCCCCGCTCACAGGGTCCCGAAGCATGTGGAAGGCGTCTGGCCGTGGGAGGTGACAGGTGGTATTGGGGACTGTGACGTTAGGGATGGCCTGCCTGTAGCGCTGCTCCAGGCCTGGGTACCAGCCCACCTCCTGAAAGCCTGTAGGAGCAGACACAGTGAGAGAAACAGCGCCAGGAGCTCACTGGACTGGTAACGCAGCCCAGCCCAGCTCCCAGCTCCATGTGGGCCCCCCGGGGTTACAACTGACAGAGGGGTTGGGAATGGGGCAGGGAGACAGGGGCTAGGCTCAAGACACCTGGTTTGGAAAGAGAATCCTGACCTGGAGAAGAGACATGGCTCTGAGCTGGGGAAGCTTCCAGACAAACCACAGAGAGGGCAAAGCCACATCAGAGAGGACTTTGGGGTGAGCTTAGGGGGGTGTGTATGCCTCTTCCTCACCCAGAAACATGAGGACCAGGGCTCCCCCCACCATGATCAGCGTCTGCAGAGCATCTGTGTAGATCACAGCCATGAGGCCCCCTGGGGACAACAGCAGAGGGTTCATCAGTCAGCATTCCCAGCAGCGCGCCCCCTAGCTCCCATCCTGGGAGGATCCAGGCTGGCCACAGTCAAAGTGCTCTGGGCTAGTTCTGTCCGGTCTGGCGGTGGCCATAGCTTCTCCTTGCTGTTTGGTTTCCCAGGGCCATTCCTTTGCAGGTGCTGTTAGCTCCCCTGGGAGTACAGCCTCCTTTCCCTCTCCATCTGAAAGTCCCCAGCCTATGCAAGTCTGCCCTGCACCGGCCTCTCGGGCCGCCCAGTCTTGCATGGGCGACGTTGAAGAGACAGAAGAGGGTGGATTTGCACTTTTGCATGGAGCTACCCATGGCAACTGTGGTCTAGATCACGGGCCCCTAATGTCGACCCTACACCCTGCTGCCATGGGCCTTTCCTGTGTCTCCTGCCATTCCTCCTTCCTGTCTGCCCTTGTGCGTCCCGCTGTGTCGCTCAGTCTCTTCCTCCAAGCTGCCCCCTGGCTGTGTGTCCCCGTCTCTGCCTGTCTGTCTCTCCGCCTCTCTCTCCGGTCGTCTCTCTCCCTTGGTCATTCTCTCGGTCTCTGGGTCACTCAGAAGCTGCCCTATCTCCTCCCGCTGGTCTCTCAGTGTCTGCACAGTGCTGAGATCCACCCTCAGACCCACCTGCAATGGTGTAGATGGCTGTCACCACCAGCAGAAGCGCCGTGGAGAGATAAAGGTTCCAGCCCAAGGCCATCTGGATGAACAGGGCTCCAGAGAAGATGTCCGTCTGCAGAGAGCCAGGACCCATGGAGCCAGCCCACCTGAGGCCCTCAGTGTGGCGGCTGTGGGCGTGTCACTCAGCTGCTCCGCCCCTCAGTGCCCCGAACCCTGGCCACACAACAAAGAGGGCGGGGCCTTGTGTGCCACACTGAGGACCTGCTCCACCTGGCTGACAGCCGTGGATACGCAAAGCCTGCAGCTTTGAGACTGAGAAAAGTTGAACCCAGTGACGCGGCCAGGCTTGTCTGGTGGCCGTGAGGGGAGTGGTGAGAAAGGGATGGAAGGCTGAGGAAATGAAGAGGAAGCTGGGGTGGGGAGGAAGAGGCCATTTGGGAGGAGAGAGTGGGACCCCAGGGGTCCCGGACTGCTCCTGGACAGAGCAGGGGCCCCAGCTGACCGGTCAGGAGCCCTGTCCTAGGAGACATCTGTGGGCCGGGTGGGCTTATTCGAGGCCCTGGGGAGCAGCCTGCCCTAAGCTGACCCAGACTGTGTTCAGCACTGGAAGAACAGGGACCTTAGGGAGGGTCATTTTCAGCACCAGGCCTGGCTACTGGCTGGCTGAGCTCCCTGTGGTATGCGTGGGGCCCAATCGTGACCGTTTTGTGAACTCCGTACAGGGTGGACAGCCTCACAGCGTGGACAAGAGCCGGCCTGGCCGCTGCGGCTCCTCTTGTGGACTTGGGCAAGGCGGGCCACTTGACCAGCTTTGCTTCCTGAGTTGAGCTCAGTAGAGGGACACTAAGCTTTTTTCTGTCTAACATTCTCGGTAGTTAGTGCCTGGTCACTGAATGAGAATCAATTAATCGGAAGATAAATCAAGGAAGGAACGAATTATGAGAGCGTGAGTTCTTTGAATACAGGGACTTTCATTCACTCAGCAAGCGTTCATCCTTCGTCCCTGCTTGCCCCGCTGCTGTGTGGGGAGCCCGTGCCAGCGGTGTGCGTGGAGCTGGCTGGCCGTCCCTCTCCTCTCCTGCAGTCTCGCCCCTGTCCGTGACCCTCAGCGTCCCCTACGCTGTAAGCCCGTGGCCACGCACGCGGCAGGTCTCTGCACCCAGTGTGCTCAGGGACGAGGCGACGGCAGCAAGCAGGCACCCACCGAGATCTTGGTGAAGATGTAGATGATGAGAGACAGGACGGACAAGTACATCTGGATCCTCTGGCCCCCGAAGCGCTTCCTCAGGTACTGTGGCATGGTGACCACTCCTGCGGCGATGTACACAGGGACGAAGACCCAGCCCAGCGCCAGGAGCAGCCAGGTCGCCTGGGAGAGGGGGGAGAAGAAGGCCTGCAGGCAGCAAATGCAGATGGAGGGGGCCTCCCATCTGCTGTGGACGAGCCCTGGCCAGGGAGGTGTGGCACTTAGGCCACCATTGCAGGCCTTCTATGTGGCCTCGGATGACCCCTCTGCCTCCTCCAGGCCTTGGTTTCCTCCTCTATAAAATGGGTCCCCAGTTCACCATGCGGCCTCCCAAGCACCTGTAAGATCCCTAGCACTAAGGCCGGAGTTGGGGGTGGGTTCAGACCCTTCCTCCCCAGGCCAGGTCAGCTTCCTTACGTTCCACTCGAAGCCTCCCACGGCCAGGCCACCAGCAGCCCCTGTCCCGGCCAGACCGATGAACAAGCCACTGCCCACATTGCTGGACATCAGAGACGCTCCGATCTGCAAGACACAGGTGGGGTCAAGGGTCAGGATTCCCCTGAACCAATCAGGAACCAGGCCTGAGAGTGAGGCGGAGGCGTGCTGCAGACATTTGTAGGGTACCCGCTGGCCGCCACATGCTCCATCAGGTACATTATGCGCGTTAACACGTGTAATCCATGCACATATCCAGATGGAGGACTAATAATTTTCCCAAGGCACAGAGGAAGGAAGGAACGGCAGGAAAAGAGGAAAAGTGAAAATGAGCCCAGTGGCTCCAAGTCACCCGGAGAGTCGGTGGCAAATCTGGAAGGAAGGAAGTCAGAGAAGAGGCCCCGCCAGGGGGGATAAAGCCGCGCAGTGGGCCGTGGACGCAGGCCTCAGAGAGGAGGCAGTGGAGGGGGCAGGGGAGCCCCCTGGGGGTGGGGGGAGGCTCCCCCACCAGTTCCCGCAGGCTCCCGGGTGAGGCCCCAGGGAAGAGCTGAGGGGCTGAGCACAGGCCAGGCCGCCAGGAGCTGAGCGAAGATTTCTCTTCCAGAGGCAGAGGGCAATGCTAATAATAGCAGCAGCGACACTGATCGGAGGCCCGGGGCACTCGCCAGGGCACTGCCGCCGTAATTAACATATTCAGTCCCACACACACCCCACGAGGTACGTGCTATCACTGTCCCCAGTTTACTGATGGACGGACTGAGGTGCCCGAGTCCTACAGCTGAGAAGGGGCAGAGGGAGGATTCACCCCTGGTGCTCTGGATCCCGGAGCCACTGCCCAAAACCATCGCTTGGCACCTGCTAAGCACTCAGTCACTGTTCTCTCTCATTAGTAGGTGGGACCCTTGCCGGGGAGGGGAGACAGGAAAGAGAGAGGGGCTGTGGGGTCTGGGAAGAGGCCTGGAGGAGCCCTCCAAGGCAGGACGGGGGTGGGGGCTGGAAGGGAAGCGTTGTGTCCTATGTCACCTTAATAAAATCCCTTCCTCTCCCACAACCCCAGCTGCTTCCCCTGTGAAGGGTGGGGACTCACCTCCCTATAACTTCCTGTTCTCCTAGTGTTCTTGGGAAATAGAAGCGTATGGAGGAACTCAGAGAAGAGGCAGCATAGCAGGGCAAAGGCACAGAGGTAACAAATGTGGCCTGCTGTCACCACAGCCTGGTGCTATGCTGCCCTGACACCTGTGCACACACACATGCAAATACACCCTCGCACACATGGATACATGGTCACACATACATGTGCACACATGTGTGCACACACATACACACGCAAGTCCCCACATGTGCATACAGTACACACACATGTACAAGCCATTTATGCATGCGCATGCACACACCTGCACACGGACTCACAGTGCACCCCCACATGGTGCACGAGGCCATCCAGCGGGGCTGTGGGTCCCTCAGAACAGGCAGAATGCCCTTCACAAGCAGACTGCCAACCGTGGCTGGAGAGCTTGTCTTCAGACCAAGCGCCGTCTCCCATACTAATAGCTTCTTGCGCTGCATGCGTGACCTTGTGGTTTTAAATCACACCATCAGGGTGGTTGCAATCTTTCACCCAGAACTGGCAGAGGAAGGGGCTGAGCCCTTGGGGAGAGTCAGGCTGTCTCCAGGAGACCCCTGGTATCTCCATGAGCCCCAAGCCAATCAGCATACCGTAGGGGAAACCCCTTGTCCAGTGGGCACCCCCTTAGAATGACCCAGTGAAAAGATGGTGATGCCTCAAAAACCCTGGACACTTCCTGAAAGCCAGCGTCCTGTTCAGGCCCTCCATCTGCTCTCCTCTTGGACCGGATACTTTACTGTCAAATAAAACTTTCTGTCTCTTTGCAAATTGTTTCTTGGCCTTTTATTACTATACTGAGCTGAGGAAAAGAACACACAAAACTCACTCCAGCAGCCACTCTCCCCTGTGCGACATATATGCAAACATTCACACTCACAATCCACTCACACAATGCATTCATTTGCAAGTACAGCCTTACATGCACAATGCACAGTCACACATACATGCATACCTATTATGCACACACTGAGCACATGTGCATGTACTCACACATGCGACCCCACACAGGTGCAGACATGCCATACATGCATGCACATACATGTGAACACTCACAATGCACTCTCACATACACACATCAATTCATGCCTACACTTGCTTGCACATGCTCACACGCATGCACACACTCATTTACTCTCAAATGTGCACACACACATCCTGCCAGGTGGTCCGGTGTGATGCCAGGGCTGGGCTGGGCCACCTGACAGAGCAGAGTCCCCCAAGACCTCCTGCTCCAAAGCAAGAGCTGCCAGGCCCTCAGCGGCCATGGCCACGGCCCCAACCCAGCCCTGGGATTCCTTTATACTGAGCGGAGCGAGAGCTCACCGCCCCTTCTTCCTCTCCCAGATCCTGGACCTCCCAGACAGCCCACAGAGCCTGCAGGGTCTCCTTTGCTCCTTAGAGGACCTGGAGCTGATCGTGGGCCAGGGAGATGGTGAGAGCCAAGACAGGGGAGGGAAGCGGTGGGAAGATGGCTGGGGCATGAGTCTGTGAGCATGTGGGTGTGAGAGTACATGAATGTGAAAGTGTGTGAGTGTGAGAATGTGCGAGTGAACACAGGTGTATGAGTGTATGTGTGTGAGGGCCCTTGCATGTGAGCAGAGGGCTGTGTGTCAGCATGAGAGTGTTTATATGAGTGTGTTTGAGAATGAGAGTGTGTGGATGAGTGTATGAGTGACAGTGAGAGTGTTGTGTGCATGTGAGGGTGTGTGCACATGAGCGTGTGAGAGTGTGGTTAAAAGTGTCAGAGTGAGTGTGTATATGAGCATAGGAGAGTGTGTGTGTATGAGTGCTTTACTGCATGAGAGTGTGAGCATCAGAGTGTATGTCAGTGTGTCAGTGGTGTGATAATGAGAATGTGTGTGAATGCGAGGGAAAGAGTGTCATATGTGTGTATATATAGTGTGAATGTGTGTAAGTGTATCATATAGGTGTGTGTGAGTATGTGAGTGTGATAGCATGTATATGTATGTGTGAAGATGTATGAGGGTGGGTATGTGTGAGTGTGTATCAGTGTGTGAGTCTGTGAGTATGAATGAGTGTAAGTTTGTATATGAGCATAGGAGTATGTGTGAGTCAGAGTATGAGTGTGTATATATGAGTGTAAGTGTGTGTGAATGTATATGAAAGTGGGTATTTGTCCCACAGAATCTGAGTATATATGAGTGTGTGAGTGAGTGTGTGAGTGTGAATGAGTGAGTCTGTATATGAGCATGGGGGTGTATATGAGTGTGTATATGTGAGTATGTATGTGAAGATGCACAAGGGTGGGTATATGTCCCACAGAGTATGTGTGAGTGTAGGTGAGTATGTGAGTCTGTGTGAATGAGTGTGAGTTTGCATATGAGCATGGGAATATATATGAGTGAGTGTGAGGTTGTGTAGAAGCATGGGAGTGTGTATGAGTGTGAGTCTGAGTGTGAATGGGTGTGAGTTTGTGTATGAGCATGGGAGTGTATGTGACCGAGTCTGTGAATGAGTGTGAGTTTGTGTATGAGCATGGGAGTGTATATGAGTGAGTGTGAATGAGTGTGAGTTTGTATACAGGCATGGGAATGTATACGCGAGTGTATCAAAGTATGAGTGCACGAGAATGTTGTGAGAGCACGTGTTTGTGAGTGTGCAAGTGCTTGTGCACACATGCAGTGCTTGTGAGTGCTGCTTGACGGGCTGTGTATAGAAACAGCACCCATTACTGCTGGGGCTGACCCCCTACAATTCCCTCCTGTTTCGGGAGGAGGGAGGTGGGAGAGACTGGCGTTGGTAAAGGTCTCAAGATCAGTCCCTGGAGCCTGTTGGAGTTTTTGCCTCTGATTCCCCTCACTTAATCCTCTGGCTTTAAACTTGTTTGTTTCTTTCCCAAAAAAGTCTCCCCTAGCCTCATCCCAGGGGACCCAAGGGCTTCCACCAAACTCATAGGCCCTGGGTTTCCTTCCAGCTCAGCAGGGGAAGCTGTTGCCTTGGTCCAAGCAGGAGACAACGAGAGGGAACGTGGGTGTTGGCGTGGAGGTCAACTCACCGGCCACCAGCTCATGGACCTCCCCGCCAGGAAGTAGCCGCCAACGGTCCCTCGACTTGCGCGGATGGACGACTGGAAAGGAAACAGCAGGAGCTGAGAACGCCTGAGCCTCCCTCTAACCTCTCCGTGTCTCCATCCAATACCCTGCCCCTCAGCCCGGCGCTGTGAGGTGCAGAGGGCAGGGTGAGGCAGCACGGAGCTGTCCGAGGGCTGGCGGCTTCCCCAGCTTTGCGCTGTGTGCTTTGAGAGAGCTGCTGCCTCCCCGTGAGCCTCCGCTCATCTCCACGCAGCAGTAACTTGTGTCCCCCACCCCGCCCGCACTGGCTTACGGTGTCGTCCTCAGCTGCAGCGCGCCTACCCCTCCCCGCGCTCCAGCGGGGCTCCCATGCTGCGGGGCGGCGGGCAGCTATTCTGACTGCTCTGCCTGTGGGGCCTGGGGCCTGGCCGGAACTCAGACCACACCACGGAGCCCCATCCAGGCCCCTGGAGGAAGCACGCTGAGCACCAGGAGCTGCCCACTCAGCAGCTGGTTTGGGGCACTGCTCTGCAGCACGCAAGGAGAGTGAGGCAGGCAGGAGCCTTCTCCCGGGACACAGCAGTGAGGGCAGGCGATGGGGAGGGAAGAGCAACCCAAGTGCTCAGATGCCGGACTCCACAGGCCTCCGACCCGGCCTGGGAGCGGAGAAACAGTCAAGGACGGGGAGGAGAGGGGACATTTGAAAAGAAGCCTCTTTCCCCAGGGGAGAGCCATTAGTGATGAGGGACTCACAGTTGCGCAGGGCCTGGTGCTTGAAAGAGAGAGAGAGAGCTAGAGCGAGAGTGAGCGAGAGAGAGAGAGGTTGGTCTTCTACCTGATGGTTCACTCTTCACTCCTCCAGATGCCTGCAACAGCCAGGGTTGGGTCAGGCTGAAGCCAGCAGCCAGAAACTCCATTCTGGCTCCCACATGGGTGGCAGGGGCCCAAGCACTAGGGCCGTCTGCTTTCCCAGGTACATAAGCAGGGAGCTGGACAGGGACTCTACCCAGGCCTCCCACGTCGGTGGCAGGAAACCAAGCTCTTGAACTGTGTTCTGCTATCTCCCAGGATGTGCATTCGCGGGAAACTGGGAGAAAGGGGGGAGGAGCCAGGCTGCAAACCCAGGCGCTCTGATGTGGGATGTGGGGGTCCCACGTGGTGTCTTGGCAGGTGTGCCAAACGCCAGCCCCGGTTCTTCCCAGCAGCCCTGGGTGGGCAGGAACTCCTTGCGTCCCTCTTCAAATGAGGACGTTGCTGCCCTCACCATAGCCTAGGGGACTGCAGGGACTCGAGTCACAGTCTGTCCCACAGAGAGTCTAAAGGTGCTGGCTTTTATGCAGCTCTCTGGGGTGATAATCTCAGGCATTTATTGCCTGTGAGCTGTGTGCCAGGCACCATGCCGGGGCTTATCGGTGCCTTGTTGTGGAATGCTTCAGTTCCACAGTACAGTCCCTGCTCTGCTTGTCCCCATGGGGAAACTGAGGCTCAGAGGAGGCTTGCGTGCACCCAGAGGCCCGTGGCTGTAAGCGCTGGAGATGGGATCTGAACTCAGGGCTCCCTGACCCTGGACACTGCATTTCCCCTGAACAGTGTGGACAGAGGGGCTTGGGAACCTGCTTGGCACCCTTCCCTGAGAGCACAAGAGCCCTGCTTCTTGGCCAGGCCACTAAGCAGTGCAGGATCGGGGCGGGCAAGCAGTCAGGCCTTTGCAGAGGTGGGAGTCTTGGATGAGGACGAGGCAGGAGTGAGGCTCGGGGCAGCCCAGGGTGGGTGGGGCAGAGGCAGCAGGTGCATGAGACAGAGAGAAGGAGGCAGGAATCGGGAGCCCCAGCCTAGACTACTTTTGGCTTGCTGTGTGACCTCAGGCAAGCCACAGCCCTCTCTGGGCCTCAGGCTCCCCTTCTGTGGAAGCAGGGGACGGATGATTCCTGAAGGTTCTTTCATCTCCGCTCCCTGTGGAGCTGTGACCTCCATTCTGCCCACAAGGACTCCCAGTCTGAGATGAGAAGCTGCCCCTGCCCCAGCTTCAAGGCCACTCACCCAGATCCCCACGGCCAGGACGAAGACAAAGTAGATGACCACGACCACGATGTCATAGGTGTGCAGGCTGACGCCAGGGCCCGCTGCTGAGCGTGGAACTGTTTCAGGCCTGCTCCCGGCCCCTGAGGCTCCGGGCCCCATAACTCCCAGCTCCTTGCTCATCTGTGCGCTGGTCCCCTGCAGGCTGGACTTTGAGGCGCTCCCGGCTTCATTCCTTTCCTTTAATGATTAAACAGCCCGGGCACCATGAGCCTGGCACACAAAGTCCTCCCCACCTGTCCTCCCACCTGCCACCCCCGGCCCCGACGGGACGCCCTCCCTCTTTCTCTGGCTCCTTCCTCCCCAACACACACCCCTGCACACATGTACATGCACAGACACACGTGCTCTCCCACCCCCAGGGGAGGAGGAGGGGGAAGAGGAGGAGGGATGAAGCAGCCCCTGTGTCCCAGGGCTGGAAAGGATTTCGGAAATCGAGGGTGCAAGCTCCTGCTTGTGTGCAGGGGATGCTGAGGCCCAGGGAAGTAAAAGTGGAGCTGGGCCTGCAGCCAGGCTCCCTGACAGGCAGCTCTCGCAACTGTCCTGCGGCCAGCAGGAGGGACACCTGCAGGCTGCCCCCAGGCCTCGTGAGTGCCTGTCTCCATTCCTGAGGGGCCATGTCCCCTTCTCCACGGTGTAAGAAATTGAGGCTGGAAAAGTGACCGTGGTTCACTCCCAGGAAGAGAGCAGGGCAAGGCCAGGCCAGAATTCACAGCTTCTGACGCCTGGCCCACACTTTCTGCCCCGTGCTGGGACAGATGAAATGGCTGGGATCCAGAGACCCTTCCTGAGAAGGATGCAGATTTCCGCCTGCAGGGTCTCAGGCAGCTCGGCCTGCAGTCCTGAGTGTGCATCTCGCTATTCTGCAGGTGACCTTGGGCAGGTTGTTAAATGTCTCTGAGGCTGGACGTCTGGACCCGCACCCTGCCTGCCTCAGCACCAGTGAGGTTACCATGTGCTCCTGACATTGTCTACAGATCCTGAGTTAACTCACACCCTCGAGGCTAACACAGAGAAAGTGATGCCAACCACCATCCGGCCGAGGAGGGACCCAGACACCACACACACAGGCTTGCCTGCTCACTCGGTCCCTCCAGAGTAGCTGCATTTGGGACAGCTCAGTCTGGTGTCTCTTTGCATGCACCTGCTGCACACATAGGCCAGGGTCCTGAGCCACAGCAGCAGCTAAATGGGCCCGATCGCCCTGTCCCACTTCCCAGCATCTAGTGAGGGTTCAGGGTTGGGTGTTGGGGCCTGAACCTCTCCTCTTCCCCTCTTGGAGAAAGGAAAGTGAGAAGCAGGGTGCTGGACTTCTCTTCTGGCCCCCTAACAGGGAAGATCCAGCACAGGTCACGCTGAGCGGGGGGGGGGGGGGGGGCCAGTTCTGACCAGGGAGGAGGGCAAGCTAGTCCCCAACTGGGCAGGGCTCAGCAGGCTCCCACAGCCTGAGGCTTACCAGCCAGAATGGCAGAGAAGTCACTGCTCCAAGTCCCTCCTTCACATTTAATGAGGAAATAAGTTTATCTGATAAACAAGAGGACTAAGGGGGCGGGGCTGCATTCGCAACATCAAGAAACCCAGACGGACCAGATCGTTGGATGGTCAGCCTGACAGTCCCATGGGGTGAGCTGCTTGGGGCGGTGGGAGGTGGGGCTGATCAGAACCGGGAGGAGGGAGGAGGAGGGCTCTGAGCTCAGGGCTGAGAGCACCAGGGGCAGGGCTCCCGGGTGGATCTTTCTTCCAGAAAAGGGAAGGGGAATGCTGCGCTCTAGTAGGGAGATGACGGCTGAATCCCGCTCTTCCTCCTTCCCTTCCCCCTAGGAAGGGCTTACCTTGACCCTGAAGTCTGCCTACAAATCCTCGGAACATAGGTCTTCAGTACACAGCAGGCCAGCATTCACCCACCCCTTCTTTCCTCTTAGCTGAGGGGCTCAGAGGATGGGACAACCAAGGGCGGTAGAGGTGACCGGGAAAGCTTTATGGGGTGGGAGGGCTTAGAGAGCATACAGACACAGAAGTAAGACAGATCATTTATGACAGCTTCCAGGGAGACCCCAGGACACACTGCAAATAAGCACCAAGTGGATAGCTTGCATTTCCTGACTTCAAAACGTAATGACAAGGCTACAGCAATCAAAATGCTGTGGTACTGTGTAAAGAAAGCCATATAATCCCACAGAATAGAATAGAGATCCCAGAAATAAGCATCACATAGCTGGTTAAATAATTCCGGAAAAGCCTGCCAAGATCATCCAAGAGAGGAGGGAAAGTCTCTTCAGCCAGTGGTGAGGGGGATCCTGCATATCAAAATGCAAACAAAAGAGGTTGCAGGACGAGTGTTTGGTGCAACAGTTAAGATGCTGTTTGGGTGCCCACATCCCACATTGGAGTGCCTGGGCTTGGGTCATAGCTCTGTTTCTGACCTTAGATTCCTGCTAAAGTGCACCCTGAGAGGCCACAGGTACTTGGGTCCTGCCACCCATGTGGGAGACCTGAAGGGAGATCTAGGCTCCTGGCTTTGACCTGACCCAGCCCTTGCTGTTGCAGCTTTTGGGGCGATAACTAGCAGATGGTAGCTCGCGCGCTCTCTCTCTCTCTCTCTCTTTCTCTCTGTGGGTCTTTCTACCTTTCAAATGTAAATAATCAATGAAAATTTTTAAAAAGAAATAAATTATAACTTTACACAATACCAAATATAAAAATGAACTCAACATGGATAGAAGATGTAAATGCAGGAGCTAAAATGATAAAACTCTTGGAAGAAAACATGAGGGGAAAGCTTCATAACATTGGGCAATGATTTCTTGGCCATGACATAAAAACCCAAGCAACAAAACACAAAGTAGATAAATTGGATTTTACGAAAATTTAAAATTCTGTAAATCAAAGGACATTGCCAGCATAGTGAAAAGGCAACCCATGGGAGGAGAGAAAATATTTACAAGTCATATATCTGATAAAGGATTGATATAAATCCCTAGTATATAAACATTGCAATAAGTCAACACAAACAAATCAGACAGCCTTATTGGAAATGGGCAGAGGACTTAAAGATTTCTCCAAAGTGGTTGCACAGATGCCAATAACCACCTGAAAGTAGCTCAATTGTTCAGAAAATGCAAGTCCAAACCACAATGAGAAACCATTTCACACCATTAGAAATGTTATTCTAAAACAAATAAAATGGAAGTGAAAGTTTGGCGAGCGGTTAAGATGCCTGCGTTCCTCATGAGGGCGCCTGGATTCAAGCCCTGGTTCTGGTCTGCACTCCAGCTTCTCCTCGCTGATGTTCACCCTGGGGAGAGGTGAGGAAGCAGTGACACTTCCAGGACTAGTTCCTGCCACCCATGCGGGAGACCTGGATTGAGTTCCGGGCTCCTGGCTTTGGCCCAGCCTCGCCCAGGCTGTTGTGGGCATTTGGGGCTCGGAACAATGGATGGGAGCTCTCTCTTTCCCTCTCTTCCAGGTTGGAATACCTATTATAAATGAAATTGCTTTTTTGATTTCTTTTTCAGATAGCTTGTCACTGTTAGTCTACAAATAACCAAAGCAGTTCTGAGAACAAAGCAGGAAACATCACATCAGCTGACTTCAAAATGCACAACAAAGTTATAGTAATAAAGGGGCGGGTGCTGCAGCGTAGCCGGTAAAGTCCCTTGGCTGCAGTGCCAGCATCCCATGTGGGCGCCAGTTCAAGTCCCGGATGCTCCATTTCCAATCCAGCTCCCTGCTAATGCACCTGGGGAGGCAGCAGAAGATGGACCAAGTGCTTGGGCCCCTGCACCCATGGGGGAGAACCGGAAAAAGCTCCTTGCTCTAGGCTTTGGATCAGCTCAGCTCTAGCCCTTGTAGCCATTTGGGGAGTGAACCAGAGGCTGGAAGACCTCTCTCAGATCTCTGTCTCTCTGTCTCTCTCTCTCTCTCTCTCTCTCTCTCTCCCCTCTTCTGCCTCTCTGTAACTCTGCCTTTCAAATAAAATAAATATATCTTTAAAAAAATGCTATAGCTACCAAAATAGCATGGTTCTAGCGTAAAAACAGACACATAGACCAAGGGAACAGAATAGAGATCTCAGAAATGAATCCACACGTTGACAGCCAACGTTGTCTTAACAAAGGTGCCGAGAACATACACTGGGGAAGCACAGTCTTTCCAGGAACAGATGCTGGGAGAACTGGCTATCAGTGTGCACAGGAATAAAATTAGACCACCATCTTTCAGGATACATACAAGTAAGTGCACTCAAAACGGATTAAAGACTTCAATTTAAGACCAGGAACTCTGAAATTACTGGACAAAAACGAAAATACAGGGGAAATGCTTTTTTTTTTCTTGTGACAAGACCTCAAAAACACAGGCAAGAAAAGTAAAATGGACAAATGGAATGACAGAACAAAGCTTTCGCACAGCAACGGAAACTATGTAGTGAAGAGAGGAAACACAATAGCCAAGACATGGAGTATTATTAAGCCACAAAGAAATGCACTACTGCCATTTGCAACCAAATGGATGGAACCAGGACATCGCATTGGGTGAAACTAACCAGGCCCAGGAAACAAACACTGCATGTTCTCATTCATGCAGGGAAACTAAGAAAAACATTGATCTCATAGAAATAGAGTGGAAGAGTGGTTACTAAGGCAGAACAGGGTCGGGGAGAGGGAAAGATCGCTCACAAGGTCTGACATTGCGGTCAGACAAGAGGGACAGTCTCCAATGTCCCACAGCACACGAGGGTGGCTATAATTAACAACAATTTATGGTGCACTTAAAAATAACAATAACAGGGGCCGGTGCTGTGGTGTAGCGGGTTAATGCCTTGGCCTGAAGCGCTGGCATTCCGTATGGGAGCTGGTTCAAGACCTGACTGTTCCACTTCTGATCCAGCTCTCTGCTGGCCTGGGAAAGCAGTAGAAGATGGACCAAGTCCTTGGGCCCTTGCACCTACACGGGAGACCTGGAAGAAGCTCCTGGCTCCTGGCTTCGGATCGGCACAGCTCCCATCTAGGGAGTGAACCAGTGGATGGAAGATCTCTCTCTCTGTGTCTCTACCTCTCTCTGTAACTCTGTCTTTCAAATAAATAAAAATAAATCTTTAAAAAAAATAACAAGAACAGAGGATTTTGGATGTTCGAACCATAAAGAGAGGGCAGCTGTTTGGGGCGATGGCCATGCCACTCATCCTGACTTGATCCTTACATATTGCATACATGTACCCAAATATCACTCAGCACACCTCAAATGTACGCAATGATTGTGTGTCAATTAAAAATGAAATTTTAAAAATAAAATTGCTTTTAGGATCACTCAGTACGGAGTCCAGTTCACTTCCTCTACAGTTCACCATAAATGGAGTACCAGGCAGGCCCTACTCAGGCATCCGAGGCCTGCTCTTTCCTGTAGCCTCGCTGAAGATTCTGCAAACCAGAGTTCTGCTCGCTTTGGCTCACTCACTCACCTGTCCCATATCCCTACCCCTCCCCACCTTGCCACTGCTCCTCTCAGCAGTTCTTCAGCCAGCCAAACAGACGCCTCTCTGTCTCAAGCTGTCCTCAGACAGACTCTCTGCCGACTGCCCAGAGACCTGGTTGTCTCGTGGCCACCTTCTTCCTCCACAGCTTCTCATTCAGAGCCTCTTCCTTCCCCAGTGCCTCTTAGAGACAGGGTCAGACCCCTCCTGGGGTTCCCTTGCTGCTCCACTATCCTATGCGTGGCTCCCGGAAGGGCCACGCCCCCCGGCTCGTGTCTTCCATTTTCAGTCCTTGGAGGTCGCCTCGGACTCAGCCTGGCAACACCACTACCCCGGTGGGACCCCCGTTTATCTCTCTGAATGCGATTGCTGATTTGCGGCAGGGCTGCCTTAGGAGTGAGCCAGCCCCTCAGGCTTGGGAGCCTGTGTCTCTGCTGCCAGTGAATGGAGCATGGCCGCCCCCTGGCGTTCAATGTGGGGGATGGACAAGAAGGAGGCACCTGAGCAGAGAGGGGCCCTGAGTTGAGGGGTGAGGACAAGAGGGTCCCGGCTGCTCTTAGGGGACTGGAAGGCTGCAGAATTGCTAAGCTTCTAACCCCGCTGGGGTCCTGCCCCGACCCCTCGGTGGGCCTTCCCCTCAGCCAGCTCCCTGTGCCTGCAAGTGCTCATTCACTGCACAGGGCTGTGGGTGAGAAGCGGCCTCGGGTCACCTCCAGGCCCACAGGCCCTGGCATGGCCACTGGCTGGGAGCCTTTGGCTAAGGGAATGAAGCCTTCATGGTGAGGTCCCGAGCATAGGGCGTCAGCTGCTGGAAGATCCATGCTACTGAAGGAGTTTTTGAGTGGCTAAGAATGCTTCGATTGTTAGTCCGGCTTCCTGCCTCCCATTAGACAAGCATTCTCAGTGCACAAAGTGGTACCACAATTTATTCCAACGGCAAGAAAGTGAACACACATACACGCATGAGCGTGGGCAGCCCCATATGGAGAAACACCTGTTACCAGTGGGCAGTGGCCAGAGGATCGCCTGAGGGACGGAGGGGTGGGGGAGGGAGGGAGCTCGCACCTGTGCAGCTATGTTGACAGGGTGCCTCTCCAGATGGTTTTCCCTTTAATGAGGTGGGGCGAGCGTTAGAGAGTGATCTCTACAGGTGTGAAGCCACCTGGGAATTTCGTGAATCTGCCACACGTTCCACATGGAGCTTCATTTCCGCATTTTCATGGTATCCCCTGTTAGGTCCCAGGTGAAGCAGGTGCATCCTGGGAAAGGGGCCATTTTGACGGACAAGTAGGATAGAGTGACATTTGGGCCTTGCAGACTTCCGGCTCAGCAGACCCGCGTAGCTATTCATCCCACATCATTCTCATATGGAAAGAAAGGCCCCCTTTGTACCGCTGCCCACGGCTCCTCCACAGTCTCCCACTGGCACTGCCAACCCCGAGAACAACCCCGGGCAGCTTCCATGTCCCTGTGGTTGGCCTCCAGCCCGACAGCCGGCAAGTTCTTCCTGAAAAACCACTCTCGGTCAGCGTCCCTGCTGACACCCCTCTCTTCCAGAACAACGCTCCCGGAACAGGACGCTACTGTTCACCAGAATGTTCCAGAAACATTGAGTGGGGCCCGTCACGAGATGATCTCCGTGGTCAGAGCACTCGTATGAGTTGGCTCTATTGCTCCCACTCTTAGAGAGGAAGTGGGGCTCACTGGCCAGTTGCTGTGGCCTGTGTGGGTTTTCAGTCTGCACTTATCTGGCTCCCAAACCTTGACTAACCACCGTCCCCTCTCTGCTGGTCCTGTGTCTAGGGAAAGAGCCTGAGGGGGTGTCCCTCCTGGGGGTGGGAGAGGAAATTGGCACTGTGTTGCCCCCTCCAGTGGCACAAAGATTCCCTGGCAGGAGTCCCCCTGGGCCCGGGCCCCTGTTGTAGATCTCCTGCCGGGCCCACTCCTGCCGCCCCAGCCTCCACTCCCCCCATGCTCCTGGCCGCCTTGGCTCCTGCCCCTGCCCCACTCCACCCATCAGCCTGCAGGGCCCAGAGAGGAAGATTCTTCTCCATACGCCTGTGCTCAGCTCCTCTCAGCTCAACTCCAATCCCATGGAGTTCCTGCCACTCACTCACTCGGCTTACTCCTGCCAGGCTCTGGCTCAGGCTGTGCTGCTGCACAACTCCAGGGGTCATCATCCCCCAAGAATCCAAGGCCGTGGTGGCCCAGCCCTGTGGAGACAGTGCGTGTGCTCCCTGCATGGGGCTGGAGAGAGAGGCAGAGCTGGGTCCCACTGGGGATGGGCACCAGCTGGCTGCTCCTGTGCCCCTTCCCCAGCCCCAAGGACCCTGGCATCTGGAGCGTGCCCATGTCCAGATCACACCTGGGGAAGGTGGAGACCTCATGTGGGCAGGAAAGAGGAAAGATTATTATGTAAGAGAGTAAGACGGAGACAGATGGCGACCAAAACCGGGCACGGAGGAGAGCAGGGAGAATTACACATTCTAGCCACTGGAAATTTCTCCCTGCCAGACTGGACGACCCCTACCTGCACCGCCTGGCCTGAGCCAGACCTCCTGGGCCTGGTCCCCGCACCTGAGGCTCCCGACAGCAGCTCCCACTCGCAGGTGGCTCTGCCTGGCCTCTGACAGCTGCTCCGACAGCTCAGGTAGGGCTGCAGGTGAGTCTGGGTTCCGCCCCCGGCTGAGGCGGCAGGAGGGGCCCTGAAACCTCAGCCCAGCCCACTGGGCCTGGGGTTCTGAGGGACAGCCCCTGTCCTTGCTAGCTGACCTGGGACGTGATCCTGCAGAACTGAGAGTCTGCTCTGGGCTTGGAGCTCCCCAGGCCACCAGGGTCAGGTTGGCACGGAAGACTATGGTGACAGTGAGGGGCCGGTGCCACCGCCGCCGGCAGCCGTGTTCCCACGTATACCTGGGCAAACAGGTTTCTCAAGGCGGGAGGAGGAGACGATTTTCAGCTCTGAGACCAATCAGTTCTGGGGCCCCAGAGCTCGCGGCCATGGTCAACGATACTGCGTGGGAGAGCTGAGGTTCATGCATGTGCTCAGCACACACACAGAATGGTGACTCCATGATGCTTGTTAATCGGCTCCATTGGGGTCCTCCCTGCACAATCATCATATGAACAATTTCTACTTGTCAATTGTACGACAATAAAGTGGGAAAGGTAAAGTGACACACACGTGCAGGCAGGAAGAGAGGCTGGCTGCTGCTAGGAACCGCACATGGCTGGGGCCTGGGAAGATCTCATGGCGGGCCACAGGTCATGTGCAGGCGTGACATCACAGTCACACACACACACGTGCACACACACGTGCCACCGGCGGCTTGTGTAGGGAGACGCTGCGGGGCAGGGATGAGTGTACGAACCTCAGTCAGAGCAGCCCCGGCTCACACAGGCTCCTTCATGCCTTGGCAGGTGGCAAAGCAAAGCCCTGGAGACCTTTAACGCCCCCTTTTGTCCCCTATAAAGGGAGACAGCATCTATCTCACAGGTTGATGGGTGGATGACATGAAAGAGTGACAGGGAAATGTTTTCTAAACCACAGAGTGAGTGCCCCGGGGACACCGGGCTGTTTTGGAGCTCCCAGCAGGAGTCTGGGATCCTGTGTGTTTGGCCAGGGGCTGGCAGGCAGCTCTCGTGGGCTGGGGCTGTGAGTCCTGCTCTGGCTGCTCAAGAGCTGCACGTGGGTGCCCACTGACCCTGGGGTCCTGCACCTGCAAGATGAGATGGCACTGCCTACTTACAGACTTCGGGAACTTAAATGAGATAATATATGGTACACGGGGTTGAAACGGCACTCTTTGTGTCTTGGTTTTGGCTGAGTGGTTGAGTACCATGTAACAGGTGCCTTTCCCAGCCGTTCCAGAAGAGAGGAGAGCCGAGGCCCAGGCACGGCGGCTGGGAGATGCCCCAGCTGGGAGGGCAAGAGCTGCAGCTTGTGAGGCCTGCACGGCTTACGCGGTTGGAGTCCCTTGCGCGAAGCCTCTGAGCTCTGATTAGGCTGTTCCTCCTTGCCCTTCCATGCAGGAATCACCCCTGCCTCCTGAGGTGGCCGCCGTGGTGGGGACATTCTCCCTGGTGGCATGAGGCAAGTGGCAGTGAGCTAGTCCCCAGTGGCCGCATCAAGGCTGTCAGGTTCAAGGGAAACCATCGGGCACGCCCTGGGATGTCCGTCCAGCCTGCCACTGGCTCCACTCAGGCACTGAAATTGCTTTAAAAAACACCGATCAGTCATCAGTTAGCTTTTAATCATCAGCACTCAGTAAACTTCTACTGTGCATCAAGCCTGGGGCTGGTCAGTGACGGGGAACACAGGGAATCCTCAGGAGACTCAGGAGCAGGGGAGAGGGTGAGGGTCTGAGAGGAGACAGGCTCAGGTTTGACCACAGCGCTGCCGTACACAAACTGTGAAATCTCAGGGAGTAGAAATTAAAGCGGTAAACTGCTGCTCACTGCAGGGTCCCTGGGAGGTGCTGTCGGTGGTGGGTGGTGGTCACTGTGCCCTCACAATACAACCACTTAACAAGCAGCAGGGATTCGGAGAGGGAGAGAGGCACGTGGGAGTTTCCTAGTAGGGCCTCAGCTTGTGAGCCCTAACACAGACCCCTGTGATCTTTCAGCATGTGCAGTACAAGACATGACCACAAGGGGGAGGACAAGGGCCCACGCCAGCAGCTCCCAGCCCACCTCTTGAGGGCAGAGAGGCACACAGCCAGGGGTCCATCCTCTCTTTGCTCCCTCCCACATAGGCTAGCTGTAGAAACCTGAGGGGCTCCCCAAGCTTGTCATTTTGCAGCACGGTGTAGAATGTTCTCCGACCCGTTCCCGCCATGTAGGAGCCAGTGTGTCCCCATCTGACCTTTCCCCTACTCTCAACCAAGAGCCAGGCTCTTCCTCTCCAAGGGAAGGGACCTTGTTCTGAGCCACGAGGGCCCCCAGCAGTCACATGAGCCAGTGACTTTTTTTGGTTTTCAAATTCTCTGTGTAAGTGTCCCAATCTCTCCCTCTGAACACCTGCAAGCTACCGACGGCTCTGAAAGTTCTGGAAGCCTCCTCTGGAGCTCTGTGACTCCCCAAAACATTATGATGCTCCCTCAAACGCTATGACTTGCTGGGAGTCTCCCGAAGTCTTTGTCCGGGGGTCTTTGATCTCCTGTGCTCTTTGAAGCCCACGTTCTGGTGACTCTCGAAGACCCCAGACCTCTGTCCTCCAAGGCTCATTCTCACTCAGCTAATGGATGCTGGGCACAGACTGGTGCTGTGAGGAACCCCTCCCCTCTCACTGGCTCAGGTGACTGCTGGGGGCCCTCGTGGCTCAGAACAAGGTCCCTTCCCTTGGAGAGAAAGAGCCTGGCACTTGGGGCAGTCAGGCCAGCTTTGATTCTCCACTTTTTTTTTTTTTTAAACTGTTTTGAGCAAACCACTTCTCCTCCTACCCCCAAGACACTCCATCCTGGTCAAGTGAAAATCTCAACGGAGCAGAGCTTTCTGAAGGTCGGGGGTGACACTCCATAGGCCACCAGCTCTGTGCTTGTGGGCAGGAAGGCGGTAACCAAGGCCGCCACGGCTTCCAGGGAGCAAGTTCAGAGAATGGAGGGATGTGTGTGCATGTGTGTATGTGTGTACACGTACATGCGCATGTGTGTATGTGTGTACACGTGTGTGTGCATGTGTGTGCGTGCGTGTATAGGTGTGCGTGTGTGCATGTGTGTATGTGCATGTGTGTGTGTGTGGGTTTCACAAGCCCTTGATATGGAAAGACAGTGACTCAGAAAGTCTTCAGGGGTTTGCATTGTGTAAACCCACATTTCCTCCTGGGGTTTCTTGCTTGCTTGCTTGCTTTTTTCTTTCTTTCTTTTACTAAGACAAAATTCATCTTTAAAAGTTTATCAGCATTTTATGAAGTTTTTGTTTTGAAGATTAAATTTCTTTTTTTTTACTTTTTTTTTTTTTACTTTTTTTTTGACAGGCAGAGTGGACAGTGAGAGAGAGAGAGAGACAGAAAAGTCTTCCTTTGCTGTTGGTTCACCCTCCAATGGCCGCCACGGCTGGCGCGCTGCGGCTGGCGCACCACGCTGATCCGATGGCAGGAGCCAGGTGCTTATCCTGGTCTCCCATGGGGTGCAGGGCCCAAGGACTTGGGCCATCCTCCACTGCACTCCCTGGCCACAGCAGAGAGCTGGCCTGGAAGAGGGGCAACCGGGATAGAATCCGGCGCCCCGACCGGGACTAGAACCCGGTGTGCCGGCGCCGCAAGGCGGAGGATTAGCCTAGTGAGCCGCGGCACCGGCCAAGATTAAATTTTAAAAGCCATGTAAACCAGCCATGAATGAAGTTTCATAATGAGCATCTCAAACGAATCACTTTAATACCTTTTGCTCATGGGATGACAGCAGCATCACTATACTAGTATTGCTTTCTTATTGCTATTAGGATGAGCTCCTTTCAGGATTATCACTAGCAGGTTCTGATGCTTAGTGCAGGTTGTGGATGTCTTATCTGGAACACTCGGGATTTTGAAATGACTCCATAAATACCTGAGGTACGAAGGGACTGAGACCTGAATCCAAGCATGAATTTCACTTATGTTTTATGTAAACTTGGTGTGCATAGCCTGAGGGGATTTTTTAAAAAGATTTTATTTATTTACTTGAGAGGAAGAGATATAGATAGAGAGAGAGAGACAGTGAGAGAGGTCTTCTATCTGCTGGTTCACACCCAAATGGCTGCAAAGGCTGGAGCTGGACAGGAGCCAGGAGCTTCTTCTGGGTCTCTCACGTGGGCACAGGGGCCCAAGGACTTGGGCCATCTTCCACTGCTTTCCCAGGCCATAGCAGCGAGCTGGATCAGAACTGGAGCTAATATGGGATGCTGGTGCTACAGGCGGAGGCTTAGCCCACTACGCCACAGCACTGGCCCCAGGGTGGGCACCTGAGGGTGATTTTGTACAGAATGTGTGACAACATTGCCGTCAAAGGGTTCTGAGGTGGGATGTCCTACTTAGACGCTGTTGGCCTTGTGAATGTCTCCGATTTTTTAGTGTTCAGGATTTCAGATTAGGGGTGCTCAAAGTGAGCTGTGCTAAGGCAAGTCTGGCATTAAGTATTCTTACGCTCGTATTCTAAAAGCAACCTTAGTCCTCACCTGAACTTTGTGCTCCAAAACTTTTTGATTTTAAGGATATTTACACAACACGCACAAGTGTCATCCCTCAGCCCTTCCTCCTCCCTGAAATACGTGCTTTCTTTATCCCTGGCGTCCCACGGCGTCTGATGCCGAGGCAGCACCTGAACTGGGCTTCCATCTTTTTTGGTCCTTCTGCAGTCTTGCTTGTTAGAAACTGTGGCCTGGCTGAGGCTCCAGAGCAGGGCTTCCCCTTCATCTCTCTCTTCCACTGCCTACATTTCTTCTTGTGGTTCAAGAACTTTCTTTTTTTCCTTTTTTTCTTTCTTTGGAGGCTCATGCCCCCCAAAGGACAGATTTGTTTTTTAAGATTTTTATTTATTTATTTGATGGGTAGAGTTACAGACAGTGAGAGAGAGAGACAGAAAGGTCTTCCTTCCGTTGGTTCACCCCCCCCCCCAGATGGCCGCAATGGCCGGTGCGATGCACCAATCTGAAGCCAGGAGCCAAGAGCCAGGAGCCTCCTCCTGGTCTCCCATGAGGGTGCAGGAGCCCAAACACCTTGGCCATCCTCCACTGCCCTCCCAGGCCACAGCAGAGAGCTGGACTGGAAGAGGAGCAACTGGGACTAGAACCTGGCACACATATGGGATGCCAGCGCCGCAGGCGGAGGATTAACCGAGTGAGCCACGGCGCCGGCCCTGCAGACAGGGGTTTTAAGGTCCACTCTCCCCA